CTCCAATCTCAGCCTCTTACACAACACTGAACTAAAATCTAGGGTTGCTGTGTTTTCTACAATGTAAATTTCATTATTCTGTTCTGCAAGTTCAAAGCTGCTTAATTTCCAGCTTTCCTTAACTCATGAACCGGATTCTGCCTTGGTTTTATAGAGAACAATTATTCTATTTAACAAAAAGATGTAGGAAATTAGTGCAATTCTATAAAAACATTTAATCTAAATAAAAAAAATACTAACAGTGACTCCCGTTGGGTGGCCTTTAGTACTAATATAAGCTTACATTGAATTTTGTGTTTCTGATTAGTACGTACGCTCTTGACAGCAAATAACAACAGACAAATATCTCTTACATTCCGACAACAGCAAACCTAGTATTAACTATATTTATCATTTTTAAAAGACTAAAAGTTTTCAAAAGTACAGCGTATAACGTATGGAAAACGATATTTTAGTGCAAGTAGCTGTAGGAAATTCCTCGAATAAATTAGTTTTTGTTGCTTCATTTGTCTTATGTGATTCTTCAGCGTTAACCATATTCCTTAGTAAGTTAAGCTCTTCAAACTTATTATCAATTTTTAATAAAACCCTAAAACAACGTTATTACTTTTTGCAATGTTACATTGTTATAAATCTAGAGAAAACTTTGACTCTGTTGTTTACAGTTACATTGAATGCTGACCCCATTTTACTTATTGGTGGGTAATAAGGCAAATTATATGATTAAGACAGCACACTGTTTTTTCAAACGAATTATCATTCAAATTTTTTTAATGAAGATCAAAGGTATTCTCTTGACGCTGTAAATTGACGTCAACGAGGACAAAGCCATAGAATATTAATGTACCTTCATAACACAACGTACCACAACAATGAAAACCATTATGACTTTATAATGTGACAGAAAGACACGACAGCTTTAAGCAATTCTTCCACTTTAATTTGCAGCAGTTCCGTTTGCAACGCTCATAATATAGCAACTCTATTTAAATGGTAATCACAATTTATAACCCTATCGAGAATAAAAGACAAGTGACTATCGTTCACCAGAAACGTTATAGACAAAAACATACAGAACTCAGTTAGTCAGTCAGGTGATAGTGCCTATCAGAAATGATAATAATATTCAAACGAAACTTTTTAAATAGTTTTTCAACCCTAAAAACGTGGCAGACAAATTATCTAAAAAATTTTATGCTGTGACTTCGGATAACCCAAAAATATTCAATTTTTTACGTTCCTGTGCATTACCATTTCGAATCGATTGTGATGTTGCAAATTTGAGTTTGGTAAAAAAATGTGTTAGTCACAGTTTGAATAACTAGATGGTAACCGTGGAGACTCCATACCGTAACTTCTTTGCTCTTCTTTGCTTGAATTTAGTTATTTTATAAGCCATTTGCATGTCATCTATTCTTTGTTTCTGTAGATGTTATCAAACAGCAAGAAACCAAACAAACCACCATCTTATTATGTGTGGATTGTTGTTTTTATGGCGTGAATCACCTCGTCAGGAATTATCACTAGTTTTTGTGATGCATGGTTTTCTAAAACAATTAGCGGTTATAGATATTTACTTAGAGGCCTATATATGTATATTTACAACTAGCTGGTACCCGCGACTTCGTTGGCGTAGAATTTGAAAAGCGCTGCCTTAGTGGGTACGATTCCCGGACCGTGCAAAATGTTAAAGGGTTTTCTTAGAGGAAAAATAGCCTAAGTTACGCCTTATGTAGCCGTTTAGAAGATGCACAAACAGACAGACAGAGGTCTGTCTGTTTGTGCCGGGTAATCTTCTTACAAAGTTAAGTTAAGTTTATAATTTTATTTCTCTAAATAAAATTATAAACTGGTTTTAGGCATAGATATCGTGCCGTAAGTAACCGTGTGAGCTTAATAAACATATTATTTTGACACACACAGACACTTCAATTTTATTTATTTGTATATATAAAATGGCTGATAGCTTTGCTATTGAAGGTTCTGACGTGAACTGACGTCACATACTTAATCTGTCACATGAATTGGATAAAATATATTATATCTTAATACGTGTAATAATATTAAAACATTCGAATCGAAGGTACTAATTTAAATTCAGTTTAAGAATTCTGTGTCATAATTACTGATTCATATTCATTCTCTATATTAATTTATCTGAAAAAAAGCGAGACGGCATCCGCTTCAGTTTTACAAAATTCGGCAACAATAACCATATTTAAGGAAACGAAATATCTAAAGTAAGAATTTTACAAAAGTTTTCTTTGATTTCCAAGGTCCAAAAATGAACAATAATATGTAATCCACAGAACAGAGAATTGTTCTATCATGGGCCCCTTTTCCAGTTCTAGAGGAGTCGCTAAGTCGTCTCAAACAGGTCCTCGACCCAAATAAAAAAAATTAAGACGGTAAAATCGATAACACAACATCTAATGTCGTCACATTATGATGTTTACACATTATCACAATACAAACTTGAAATTAAACAAACCGGTGAAAATTATTTGTCGCCGACACGGTGATTATGATAATGACACTATTAGTGATAGTGACATGCAGTTACTGACATGGATATTGATATACTCTCGTTTTCATTTTTTTTTTCCCATAAAAGCAATGAAGCAATACTTTCAAACGTTTCTCAATACAGCTAGCGTGACCATACGAAAACAATCGCTTCTGGTAGCAGATAATTGAGATAAATTACTGGTTGTGTCAACGTACCCAAACATTCGTGTTTCCGTGGATCTGAACGTTGGGTAACCGTTTGAAAATAATTATGTGATGGACACAATCATCACTCGCTAAACAATACTTAACACATTTATTGTTACGTTTGCATTTTTATTGTAAAATCTCACAATTTATTTTATGGGCGACGGTGAAAAAGGTTGAAGGTAACAGTTGAATAACAGGCCCTACTATTTACTACCCGAGCAGAAGGAGGGTTATGTTTCCGAGTGTATAAGTATGTATGTATGTTTCTTTTCCACGCTCGCGCGCTCTGTAGCCTTAACGGCTTGAAGGCTTGGCGTTTGAGGTGTTGTTAGATTCGTCTTAGTTGTGAGCGTGACACTGGGTATCTGAAAATTATAAAAATTAGCTTCGCCGGTTTGTAAACTTTATTTTTCACTCAGTCGGCTTTTTGTTTTTTCTGATATAGATGCAAATCATTGACATTGTTTGTTTTTATTTTATCACTTTTTTTATATTGTTGCGAGTTAAACCTTGTTTCAATTTCATGAAACTAAATAAAAACTTTGTTGACTCTACAATAAAATAGATAAATGTGTTTAACGAAATAATTTACGTACATATAACCTATGCATAACGCGTCGAGGCATTTCCTCATTAACGTTTTGCATAAATTTCCAAGCAAATATTATCCAATTTACCTACTCCTGGTGTACTTTATATTAATGCTGTTTACAAATAGCTGTTACTTTTTAACTGAATTAGCTAATTTACTACTGGACAATATCGTAGTTATTTTTTTTACTTGACAACTCATTTTATTGCGACTAAAGTTATTTGACTAAAGTTGACTAATGTTACTTGTTGTTAAATGAGACTAAAGTTCAATAGTGTGCACGACGATACCGCGTGATCGTAAGTGAATTCAATTAAATTCAATAGGTATGCAGGGTTTTAAAAACTTTTAATACGTCATTAAGGTAACGCTTCCGTAAAGTATGACGTTTGATAGAATAAAACAGGGGCGCAGTGGTCTTTCTGTGAAGCTGTAATGCTCCAGAAAGAGACCGCTGAACGGGATCGGGAGATTGCCGATCCCGAGCGTAGAGGACGTCGCGGGCCGCCAGAGAGTGAGGACCTCTGGTGGCAGATTGAATGCTGCGGTAGGGGATAGGATGGCGGCCTGATTGCATTAAGACCTTTGAGAAATTGGGCCGCCACGTCGCGATTGAGGGGGAAGTGTTTTTCCCCTGGGATAGGGCCTGACTAGGCATGGTGTCAAATCGGGGAGGACTTGAAATAACATGGTCCAGGTCCTCCCAGAGTAGGGCATCTGAGGCCGGCCGTCGGGGTGGTTTTTAGTGGAATCACCATATACTCCTAGTTCTTAGCCCCGAGGAGCAGGAGATCCGAAGGTATTTTCCACCCCGTCAAAAAAAAACAAATGAAATTAAGAGTTTCAGATTTACACTCGTTTTTCATCACTATTTCTTTTTAAATTAGTAGTATTTAAACGAAAATACTAATGTACCATGGGATTATGACAAATTGTGAAACGAAATGTTCTATTTATTTGATACGACAATAAGCCGCTGTGTAGTTTCGGTCTAGTGGTTATTATGACTCCGCAAGCAATTGATCAGCTACATTACTAGCTCTTACTATGTTATTCTCCGTCTTTGTTGTACGGTCTATAAATTTACTAGATATCAGCAAACTACGTATTATATTAGACGTCATGTTGAAAAGATGGATCACACACCACTACTCTATAATTGCACCAAGATTAAACATAGATTATTATTTCTGTTAGTTGTAATAGATGATACTTCTTGAGAGACGTTAACGAATATAAAGCATGCAAAAGCATTATACAGCGGCATACTTTCAACTTATTTTTGCGCTGGTATATTTCCATACTTCCTTGATTGATTACCAGTGACAGCGAAAACATCGCCTCTTGTATCGTCCGCTTTCTCTGTAGATTAGTTTTGCTTTTTATTTAATAATAAATTACGTCGGCTGTACGACAACATTTTGTTAATTTCTTGTACTGATCGAGTAGTCCAAAGAAATGGGATTGAAATTAGATTGAGGCGGATAGGCGATGGCGCGCGGTAATTGCACTGTACTGCGGCTGTACCGCGGCTGCCTCACCTCAGTCTTTTCTGCGCCGTCGTTGCGGTCGGGTCTCTTAACATCGGCCATCGAACAATACAAATACTCGTAATTAACAAAAATGGCCGCATGCGCTGACACGTAATACGAGGATTCGTGAGTGACCTTACATCGACAGTGGATGGAAAATGAACGAGGAACAGGAACAGTGCGACTCGTTCAACTCGTGGGAGCTGAACGGCTTAAACTCCTTAGACCTGTGGGACTATACAGTCGAGTTGGAGTGCCTGCAAGGAACCGAAGGTTGGTTTGTATTTCGCAAGGCTGTGTGAGCGGTAGCGTCGGCAATCCGTTGCCCTAGACGTTGCGCTCGCCGATCCATTCGTAACGCACAGAATAAAACTAAATAGAGATCGAAGCATGGAATTGTTTGAATAACAACTATTACGATAAGAATTACGGTACCGCTTTCTATAAGTACTCTCCTTTCTAATGAAGATGATCTATATGAGACGTTTAAAGTCGTTGTTTATTTTTAGGAGCATATTTATTGTCATTATACGATAATGGGAAAGTTTATTGTTATTGTTCGTCTGTCTTTTGTTTTACGAACAATTTAGTTTGAGTTTTAAGTGAACCTTTTTCGATTGTCTGGACTATTTAAGCTGTTTACTTAAGTGTTCTAACAATATTTTATTGTGAATTATGATTTTAAAGCTAAGAATGTTTTAAACTAGTTGTATCAAATGTTAGAAAGACTGAAACTAATTGTTGTTTTTCGCATTGAAGCATATCCGGCCACCAGCCTTAGTATGTTCAAGACCGTAACTTGAATGGATGCGTTCTCATCTCCTGCCAAAAATGACCTCTTTCAATAAAAATTTATTCCTGACCTAATTTTAACTTTAAATGGTTTGGTTTTCACAAAAGATACCTTGAATACGTTACTATAGTTTCCTTATCAAAGTGCGACGATTAGTTTGTTTTAGTTAAACATAACTTGATAAAATATATTGTCATTATGAAATGATAATCACATTAACATTGTATTGTATGTGCTATCAATTTATTGATAAGACTTGGTCAGATTATTATTATAAAACTAATGAAATGTACCTATTAACTTTATTAACAGAATGTTAACTGATTTATATGTTCGTGTTGTTGTAATTTAAAAAGTTGTTATTTTCTAATACATTTTTACGTTTTTAAGTCAGTTAAAGACGTGAACTAAAAGATTAAATATTTAATTAACTAATTATTTTATTACTTTAATTTGTATACGCAGTACCTCTAACCCATGTAAATATTTCAGCAGTCATAATCATTCAAAAGTTTTACAACCAAAAAGTATGTAGTTCGATATAGTACTCAACTCGAAAAATTCGATAAATTCTTCGAAAATTAAAAATAATTCCAGATGTAGTGATGCACAAATCATTTATTTTTAATATCTTCTTTTGTCAATTAACAATCTCATGAGTCCTCTGTTCTTTAACCGCTCTATTTAGTTATTTTGTTTCGTGCTGTGGTAGCACGAAAACAAAATAATGTTTCGTTGTAGTCCATTAGGACTCGTTGACACTTTTAAGCTCAATCGTCCCTTAGTGTTGCTGCTCCAATGTCTGTATGATCGAGGTGTAATCTTTCATTTGTTTTAAATTAACATTATAGATATACATTACATTCACCCTTCTTTGAAAGGCGACTTCCGTCAGCTTGCCAAGAGTCCGTGCCATATTAGGAACACCGGATAATGCATATCTAGACCATTAATAATACACTATTAACTGTCATGTAATTATTATATAATAAAAATTATCATATTTTACAATTACCAAACTGTCTGTGCATAAAAAGTTAATTGTCACGCAAGAGCCTTCATTTAGCTAGTTATTTATGAAACTGCAAAGAAATGTAATGACGAAAATGGCGTTAAATATCTATTGTATATAAGTGGCAGAGTATGTTACGTTGTTAATCATTTTTGTATGGGCAGGCACAAAACGTACCTACTCATGACGGCTTTCCTGTTCAATGTTCATATTTAATTAATAATAGGCGGACCTTGAATAAGTTAGCTAAATAGAATTGTAAGTTTTTCAACGTGTTCGCAATCGTGCGTTATGAGTTGTACACTTACCTACTTTTAACATACACACATTCTTTGTCCACATTGAATGCAATGTATGTAACAAATTCTTTAGTTAATCTGTGGCAATATCTCTCGAGGTCACTGTGTAATCTACAGACATACAAACCAATTTAAACTTTTTCTCTCTTTATCTGTTAGTATTCTAAGATTCCGTCCATATTAGAATATGCCGTACTTAAGTAGTGAAATTACCAGTTTACTACAATACGAATAGGTGGTTACATAATGCTTCATTTTTATTCATCCTCCGTTTACACTCTGAAACTATCAACAGTACACTACGTCGCTTATTGTAAAACCTGTATTTTTATAGCACCATCATCCTCGTAATTTTAATTAGCCGACAAGGTTGAGGTTTATTTCACTGTGCATAGAGTAAATATGATCTTTGCCCTATGTTACGCCTGAGTAAGGTTTCCATTTACTATTTAATCTACCATACACATACACATTTAGTTTCAACGACTGAACGCTGAGCTGTAATATTTAGTCATACACTAATATTCCTAATATGCTTTCCAAACCAGTGTCAGTGAGGTCTGTGAGGACTGTCCTGGGTTTACCCTTTATGGCAGAACTTTTTATGTCATAATATTATTTTGCATAAGAATATCGTTTGGCAGACAATAATTTATCAAACATTGAATGTTTGATAAATGATTGTCTGCCATAATTCCATCGCCATCCATTGCCATCTCATAGTTTTGGCAGTCATAATCATCATTATTAGTAGTCATAGGTTAGAGGTTGTACTTCTATTTATCAATGTCTCAGCAATTGATAGTAATAGTCACTGACACTGTGAAGTTAATTCATTGTTAATTGATAGTAACATAAATTTATTTTTCCACGATAAGTTCAATTTAATATTTTCAGGCCCGTATTTCGTACGTACGTACGTTTAATACTGATTGGTGCATGTCCGTTCATACATAACTAGACTAGTCCTCTGTACATGCGCAGTAGAGACTACGTCTGTATTGGCTATCCATAATAGTAATTTTTATATCATTAATCAAGTTCCCTACATGCTAATTACTTTTTTCTTTTTAACTTTATGTTGTATATTTATAGCACTAGCATTGTTTTAATAACGAATGTGTAGCGTGGGAAACTTGCTTGGGATTTAGGTTTAAGTAGTGTGCGCGCTTTGATCTGGTTACGCGGATTGTAGGTAATAACGTGAACTAATAAACGTATAAGATAATTTAGTATAAAATATTGAGGCTATTTACTGAAGCATTGAAATGTTATTCATTGTCTCAATTTTCTCAGTGAAAGAACAAATCACCTTCAAATCGGTAGACCGATCTAAATATCATCGTGCGAGAAAGTTTTACATTACAATATGGTAGATTACATTCTTTGTAAAAAAGTCGATGATGGTCGAGAGAGAGCCATGTATTGTTTCCATAATTTAGACAGCGCAGTGAAATTACAGTCTTGCCGAGAAATTAGTCGGTAAAAAATTTACATTAGGATGATGTAATAATAGACTATCTAACATTGTTGCCGACACGAGTACCCATTACTTATTGTTTTTATAGTTTTTTTTTATTGTTAACTAACTTTACTTTTTAATTTAAAATTTATAAAAATTCAGAAGCTACACACATGAGTACAATCTCTATACTCTTTTCAAAAGACCAAATGCCAGAATTACTCCATAAAGAGCGTTTTAAAAACAAGGCTGCTGAACGATAGATCAAGCAGTATAATTAATTTTGTAAACTGCTTCAGTTTTAAATGTAAGGCTTGTAAGGGGTCATATATTTGTAATCTACTAATCAGCTCTACGGCGGCACGAACATGATCGAATTTCTTTCAAATTCAGCATGGTAAAATGTTGGGTTTTTAAGATAAAAAATAAGTATGATAAATAAGATGTAGATGTATTGACGTCAAAAACTTGATATTCGTCCCCACTTATAGACACTAAACAAAAAAGTGAAGAACTGAATATAAGACTGACTCTGCAACTCAATAAAACTGTTTCTACCTAACCAAAAAAAATGCTTTGGACCATCGGCAACAGCTATTTAGATAATTTGTACTCAACAACTAGATTAGAAAAAAAAAACACGAGTTGGAATGTAATATTGGCACTAAGTTGTATGCTGTGATATTGTTATTGAATGGAGTGCAGATCGAAAAGATAGATAAGTTAAAATTACTTTTGATTAGAATTCTATCTCCGCTATCGCTAGGCAGCACATCAAAGCTATTCGTATATCCATAATTTAATCGTTCACTAGTGTGTGTACAACAGTTACTTTTTTGGTTTTTACAATTTATGAATGATTGACTATGCGTGCGTTATAGAGTTACATGTAGTTATCTACTAGTTGTAAAAGCAATCAAAACTTCATAATAAATGTACCAATCGTGAACGCATGTTACACGGCGCGGTGTTTAAATGCCGAGACAAAAACCGGTTGTTCTGAAACAATATTTTTTACTTAAAAAAACTATTTGCGAGTTATTATAATATTATGCTGCCTACGTCACACATGAGTGCCTCCAACTTTAAGCGACTGTTTATTTTGCCGTGAAACGCGAAACAAGTAATCTAAGTTAAATAACTTACAGTATTTAGAGCGCAAAATGTTTCCTAGTGTATAACTATAACTAAATTGTTCAACCTAAACTTATCTCTTACACTTTTAATTTAATGATCATTTAAATTACTTTGCTCAATATTATAAAACTCGTACATCTATTTAAAAAATAGTAAATGTTTGTTTTATGCATGCAAGAAGTTTGTAATTTTGAGCGTATTAGCGAAGTAGCGAAAGTGGAAAAACTTAAATTAAAATTGTGAGTGAAATTCATTAGAAATTAGATCAATAGCTCTTTTTCTCATCTCAAACCTAGGTATTGTCCTTGCCCCTACCTTGACAATCGTGCATCAGGTGTTAGATGTGGCCAGGCCTAGTGATGATTTTTTTAGACATCAATCACGATCAATGCCAGAATCACTTTTAAATTATTTTTTTAGTTCCGTTCACGGCTTTTAACAGTCAGTATTTCTAAAGACAGCTACCATTATGATAGACGGAAAGTAACGGATCACTTGCAAGAATATTAGATTACATGGTCATGAGCAAACCAAATGGAATGACCATTAATTGACCATAGGCTTTTTTCTGACCATGTTAGCGTAAACCGATCGTGAAGATCAAAGATTAACTTTCATCCACGTAGGTCATAACATACAAAGCCTAATACACTGACTGTCATGTGATATTTGAAACATTTGTTCTCCGAGCAAGGTTAACCTTTCACGAAAGTGTGTATACAAATGATGTACAAAGATTTATTTGTATTAGTACCGTTGTGGACAATGGTAGTTAAAAACAAACGATGAATAGGATTTGGTGCCAGGTGTCGGCAGTTATTCGCGGGTATTTAATTTCTGCGCCTGACAGCTGTCGTAACTTGCATTGCATTTTCAAGCCCAGCGCTGCCAGTTGCGATGGTGTTCTGATAGTCTAATTACTTCGTTCAACTGGTTCCGTTATCTTATATTGGTCTTAGCTTGCTCTTAGTATATACTGCTTCGAGCAGTATTTTATCTCTGCTGCTACATACAGCAAAAATAACGTTTATAATTTTCACTAGCCACTGGCTCTACGTGACTTTTTAATAGTCTCTACAAGATACGTAAACCTTTCTTGGTGGAACTTTTCTTGTAACACAAAATTGAGCAGTTATGTAATTTTTGTCTTTATCTGTTTATTTCAGATTTGCAGTTAGCTGCAGAACTTGGCAAAACCCTTTTAGAGAGGAATAAGGAACTCGAGACAGCACTTCGCCAACATCAAAATGTCATCGAGGATCAAACACAAGAAATCGAGGTGAGACTTAAGAGTTAATATCAAGTGTCAAAAGTGTTAGTGGCTATGAAAAGTACATTTAATACTTAAGTATTTAATTAATTTTGGTAAAATACTCACGTCTTAAGCAACAATACGTTTAAAAGAAATGTAATATACACATACAATATAACATTTAATTGAATATTACGCATAGCACTATTACGCATGAGGCAAAAATTAATTTAGCGTAGACTATAAAATTATAATAATGTACTTAAAATGCAAATTTTCTTATTACAGTACTTAACAAAACAAACGGTTGCCCTGCGCGAGGTCAACGACTCCAGGTTGCGAATTTATGAACAACTAGAAGTGAGCATTCAAGACTTGGAGCGTGCCAACCACAGACTAGCCGTTGATCATGCCGCCGATAAGAAACACATTAAAACGTAAGTTAAATATTTATTACACACAGTTAAAGCATCTCATAAAATAACAGCAAGATGATCTTTGTCAACTCTAATTATCTTACACGAGTATTCACCATTTGCTTATTTTTAAGACTCATTACATAATTATTGATTCCAGTTTATGCTCCAATATTGAAACGCTTGAAAGCAAATGTGAAGAACTTCAAAAGACTGTCGACGACCTAAATGCTCAACTGGAAGTCTCCAGACGACGAGCGGAACGTCAAACAGATGTTGAAAAACCAAAAGAAAAAGAGAAAGTTTTGGAGACATCTCTCGGCACCAAAAAGCCTGACGTAAGCAGTACGCCGGTAAAAGCGGCGGCACCTCTCCCAGAACTGACTCAAGAGGACGAGGACTTACTTAGGCTAAGTGATGAACTTAGAGAGAACAAAGCTGCCTTTGCGCAAGAACAGAGGAGAGTTACAGAACTTGAAGAACAACTGGCGTCCATGGTCCAAGAGAACAATAGGCTACAGGAGCAATTCAGGAATTGGCATCAAAGAGAAGACGAACCGAAGTCTATGCATGAAGAATTTTCTATCCTTGAAGAAGTCAGGTACGTAATATTATGATTGGAACTGCCTACACTCTATTATAAACCAGATAATATTAAACCCTATTTTCTCGGTTTAGAGATAACGGTCCCTATAATATAATATTCTGCCCCGAATGTTTTAGCCATTTGCAAAATATATGGCGCTTAAAATAATGAAATTTCTAGTAGATTAAATAAGATTTTGTCTAAATTTAAGTTTAATGTTGCCAATCATAAATAACAGAAAACTCAAAGGCGTAGAGTGTATGCATAACTTTAAAAAAAAAAAAAAAAAAAACAACGGTTTTATAATATTGATCTATAAAATCAATACTTTTTCATGTTACAGACAAGGCCAACTTTGCATAAGATGTTTAAGAGGCGTCGAGCGAGGAGACGACATGTCTTCAATGCTTGATGGAGATGACGACGACAGGAGTGCTATCAGTTCTTTGATCCTCCCACCTTCTGGACAACTCAGCCCAAGAGAAGATCTCGTCACCAACAAACTTGTAAAGTTCGATGTAAGTTCAGTGCTTAAAAACTTCTGCATGTTTCTCTAAACATCTCTAAAGGCTTATTTTACTTTTGTAGATCTTTTTCTTATTATTAACAATGTCTATGTATATTTAATTTTCCGTTTATTATTGTTAACAATATTAATTCACAGTTCTGCGTTGTACACAAATCAACTAACAGCATTAACACATGCCAAAACTAATTAACATGTAGTACGATGTAGAATTGAGGGATTACTTTTACTCGACTCAACTATTGCACTAATGACTAGCATAGGTGTTTTACAAACGAATCAGGTACCACTTTCACACCTTCGAAAGTGTTTATGTTGGATAAATAAAACATGGCATTGGATTTCCCCCACAAAATCTTACATGAATTTCGCTCGTTTCTAGGCGACAAAGCTTTTCCAACTGCCCCTGATGTTGTTGATCACGCTTTGCATATGCATTATGAAGCGCATTTGCAGTAGTTTTCTTTGGATATATCGTATGTAGTCAAAGGTACGTCCATTACCGACAGGTTATTATACATACTAAACGCGAACAGTGCACGCTACGACTCAATGGTGACGGTAAATGGAAGGTAGTGACAAAATTCAATCACGTAGTTAAATCTCGCCCATAACATTTTATTAAATAATTAACACGGATGTGGAATACATGTAAATACTAATACTGACAGGTATAAAGTTTGGGCTAACTATAATACGGATTAATTTATTTAATTCTTACATAATAAAGATAGGAATGTAAGTTTTCTTCATGCAACTGTAGCGGATGTGACTTGTATGTGTTTCCATATGTAACTTAAGCATATAATGTTAAGGTACTGTGCTGTCGTTGCGTTGCGTACAGCTGGGCTCACGTATAATCTGCACCATCTACCATTGTATGACGACAGCTTACTTTTCTATTTTAGCTGTGGTATTATTAATAACCTAACATGGAGAGCAGTATTAACGATCATGTACGGTGAACATACTAATATTTCTGTAATGGGTGTATTTTTGACTAATATATTTATATACATTTATAAGTGTTTTTTTAATAAATAGAGGTCATTTCATTTTAAAAAATCCATTCGTTTTCTGAAACCTAACCTGTACCTTTTTAATATTCTGTTTAATATTCTTTACAATCATTACTTCGAAGCAACTTCATTGAAAATAATACTCCGTCACGTTAATAATAACAAACAATCTTTTCACTGTTACAAACCAACGACTCATTGTCAACGCTCAGCCGACCATTTGTTTTTACTTTGATTTGCTGAACTAATCATAAATGTGTTTCCTTTACAGACTGCCAAGGAGAAACTACTACAAGGCATATGGGCAAACAAAGAAGATGGCCATGACAACCCATACCGAGAATTGGTACAAAAGTACGAAGCTCTTCTGGAAGTACAATTGTCACAGGTCAAGAATATAAAAAAGAACAAAACCACTTTACCTATTTTGAATCCTTCTGGACCTCTGTCACTCCAAGACGAATTGCAAACCTCTGGAGATTACAGTCAGTTTAGCATCAAGGATACAGATGAAGAAAGTGGTCACGGCGAAGACGCGCAGAAAGGCAATAGTCAACCGAAGAAAGTGGAGACAAATTCAAGAAAGAAAATAATACAAACACCAGACTTTTCAGAAGCGGAAACGTCAAGCTCTGGCTTCTCTGATGAGACCAGTAACAAAGCGACACAAACAGAACGTGAGAGACCCGGTTCATTTTTGTGCACGATTGCTGACGGAGAAGACTACCGCTTCAGTATCTATGATGATGTCAGCCCAATGGACAGTCGATTCCGTAACAGACCAGAGTACAGAGAACTGTTCAAAGAAATCTTTACAATCCTTAAGAAAGCGGCGGAAAACAAAGACGACGGAGAGCAATTGCCGCTTCTCGATGACACAACGGCAGGAAAAGTTCCACCCGTTACTCCTGCAAATGAGGACCTCCCTGGTAACTTCACTGACGACACCCAAAGTGTTTTGTCGTCTGTCATGTCTGAACAATCTATTCCAATGTCCGATATTACTGTACCAGAAACTCCTACATTAAAAGAAAAAGAGAAGCCTCTACCGGAAGTTACCAAAAAAGAGGTAAAGACTCATAATAAGGAGAACAAACCAGTAGCAGAAAGTATCACGGAGAAGCCGAAGCCAAGCCAAACTAAAGAAAAAGAACAAAAAGAAAAAGAGAAAACAGAAAAGGAGAAGGAGAAAGAGAAAGAAAAGGAGAAGGAGCGCGTCTTAACACCATTGGTACGTCAGCCACTGGAATACATAGCGGCCACTAGAAAGAAGTCCAGACATCGCAATCGAAAACACAGCCAAGATCGACAGGGAGCAGATTCTCCTGTATTCCCATCTCCACCCAAAATTACGTATCAGAAACCATCCCACAAGAAAAGGCGGGATTACCGACCAATCGAAGTGAGTCCTCTCACAAGACCTTCAGAGAACGAGTGGAACGGCTCCACGATGCTTTTCTACAACAGAAACCTAATTAATTCACCGACACCCAGCGCGAGCGGACGAACGGGTAAAATCTATCAAGGATATAACTCAGAAACTGACTCGTGGGACATCAAGCAGAGCACTGCGTCACAGGAAATTCACAAGCTAAGGAAACTAGAACTTTCCTATGCTGAAGTATTGCGAAACGCCGACAAAACTAAACCGAGGCGCAAAAAGCATCAGTAACTATGAATCTGTTTTTAATTCGTCGACCCCTCTTATTTATAGTAAGAGTCGAGTGATCTAACAGCCATTTGTCTTTGTCAACTGGACATAAGTAATTTAGTTTAGTTTTGTGATCTGGTAGAGTAATATTTTAATTTTTACCTATAAATTCACGATCATAAATTGCCATAATAAACCGGTATAATGGAAGTATACCAGTATGTTTATATATGTATACTGTCAATAGTACTAAAATACAACTTAATTTATTAAACTTTCAAAATAAAACACCCTTCCCTCCGATATCACAAATACAAACAATATCATGTGAAATATACTTGCATTTAGATCCAGAGCACCTACGTATGTCTCAATATAGTCGAGTACTGCCTGAAATTGAGTTCAATTTGATCTTTTTCATTGAATAATTTAATTTCTTTCTATTTTAGTCATTATTTTAATTGTATATTATGTATTTGATCATTGATTTGTAAATATGCATTTTGTAAGTTAATTACATTTTTTTAATTGCCATTGATATTTTCGAATATTTCGAACAATGCGTTTATGTATGCTGAAGGTATTTAATGGAGACAAAGTGAGAGAGAGGTTGAAGGTATAAATAAAAAAACTGCATTGATATTAACAAGTTTTTCATTTTAACAACCCGTTAGACGTAGACTTAATTTATCTAATTTTGTAGTCTATAAGATAAAGAACTCACTACCTAACGCGAGCCTCTGAAGATGTTGGTTGAGGCTCTTAGCAATTAATCCATGCGCCGATCCCACATGTCGACAATCTCGTGAGCCAAATCCAAATACTTGTTTATCTTTTTCAGCTTTCAAGAGATTGTCGTCATGTGGAATGGTAATGTCAACAATTATTGCTCGGCGCTCTCATCGGTCTATTATCACTATATCAGGTTTATTGGCAACAATAGTCCTGTCAGTGATAATAGGGCGATCCCAGTACAACGTTGCACTACTATTTTTAAGAACTGGGTCGGGCACATATTTGTAGTACGGTTACCTAGACCAAGCGGAGTAAGTCCGTTATCAACTGCTACTACATCCTAGACCAAGCGGAGTAAGTCCACTTTAACGAAAAGTTATGCAGTCCGTCTGGTCCCGCTGACTTCCACTTCGGTAGTGAACGAACTGCATAAGCTACGTCAATGTCTGAAATTGATACTGGCTCCATTGTATTGATTAACTCACACGATCGTTTGACATCTCGCATCCATTCACCCTTTGTGTGTGATAGGTATTAGTTATTTTAACATCTGAGAAACGCACTAAATCAGGCTGCTCCGACTATAAATCCATCATTCAACGCTTTCTCCATATATTGTTATGGCTATTTCTTTCCTGTTTGTCATTACGTTTGTTTTAGACTTGTTCGTGGTAAGAACTACTAGCTTCTGTTAAATATTGCAGCATATGACGCAGTGTACCAGGGCTGTCAAAGTCATCTGCGAACCTTAAATGGTTGAGTTCTTCCCCGTTAATTTAAAAATTTATGCCTACATTTTCCCACTCTAAGTTCCTAAATACACTTTCTAGGATTGCCGAAAAACGGGTACACGAACAACTCAAACTTTTAAATCCGCTGATGGCAAATTTCCTGTTTGCGTTTTAATGGTTTACTAACTGCGCCCCGTAGTGTTTCATATATACCTTGCTCATCTCACGGAAACACTACGGCCTGGTTTCGGTGTCAACTACCTCCATACCAAATTTTATCAAAATTGCTCCAGACACTTTTAAGGACTTTAAGTTTATCAAAGACTTTAAACTTTAAATCAAGATGAATAGAAATAACAACCGCTGGTGAATAATGAAACACATTTATATTACAATGATATAATTTAAGTTTATTTTTACATGGATATATTGTATACATGTGGTTTCCTCGCTGGTGTGGATGTGGTATTGAACTACTTATTATTTTGTGCTTCAAGTTCTCTCTCGACAATCTTACGGTACTCGTCAAAACCACCTTCTATACTCATGACGTCACCGTTACCGCACACCCAGAGCTCCTTGCACACCATTCGTATTAACCTTTCGTCGTGGGATACCAGGATGACACCACCCTAGGACAGAAAGATAACAATGAGTTGAGAGTTAGAAGGGAATTTACGGTAATAGAATGTTCAGGATAATTAGAGGCAGGATACACGATGATATTTTAGGTTTGATTAGATTTGATTATTTTAGGGTATGGGTACTACGAGTAGAAAGGTTCGTCTTCACAATGAGACGCCTCTGTTTCGATCGCTTCTCACGCTTGAATCTCGTTGCAGAGACTGACATATTTCATTATTAACTGATCAAATTCACTAGCGTAACGCTATTTTATGCTATGTTTTAAATAAAAAATGTCGCATACAGAAATTTTAGTTTAGGTTATATATATACTAATAGTTGTAAGTTTAGTAATAAATAAATCTATCCGGCGTCCAGCAACACACGTCATATCATTTCTTCTACGACTCTCGACATCTGGGTAGGCACAGCCTGACTTATTAATCACAAAAGCGGCTAAAAACTGTAATTTTCGATCAGAAAAGACCGTATTACCTTTTCGAATTTAAAACCACACTAAACAGAATGATTAAGTTGAATCGTCCTGTTATAAATGGTGCTCTACTTAGGAAGGGTTTTTTTTTTATGATAGATGGAGCAGGGTCAAAATTCAGTTCCGATCAACTCTCGATCGGAACTGAATTTTGACCGAACTTTTATTACCCGAGACTTGACTAGGATTCGGATACTGGGTGAGGCGCTCTCAAATCGAGATGATACGACAATCGGTACTTTTTGTGGTGAAGTATGTATAGTATGGCTGTATAGTATATAAAATATTTACAATGTGTTTTATAAGGTCAGGTCATTAACACTTCAATTTTGGTCAGTTTGTTGATTGGAAGAGTTCAGCACCTCACAGTCGATTTCTTATATGTATATACTAATATTATATTTAGCTCTCTTACCGTGTATTTAGTAATGCCTTTCCCCAATGCTTCAATCGTTTCTATGTCCAAATGATTGGTAGGTTCGTCAAGTACGAGAAAGTTTGGATTACCCATACACATTCTAGCAAAAGCAACCCTTGACTTTTGACCTCCAGAAAGACTTCCAATGGTCTGTAGAGCAAGGTCACCGCTCACACCGAAACTACCCAGCTGTCTCCTATATTCTTCCACTGTTTTACCTGTATAATAAAATGTAATATTATTCATTGTTTATTTGTTGTATTCCATGTTTACATGCAATTTGTATGGAGGTTTAGTAGTTGGATAGAATTAGCGGAAAAGAAATTTTGCGGGCTAACTGCAGGCTACAAAACACACATTCTTACCAAATTTATTTATTTTTAATGGTAAAAATGCGGTGTTTTCTAATTTGCAAAAAAAAACTATTCAACCTATCGGGACTCTACAAGCCTCATTTTATTCGTCTTTGTTTTGCGCATTTTTCGTAAATTTACACTTTCTTTGTACGATTTGAAGTTTTCTTGTAAAACGCGATAAACCGTTTTTGACAGTTTTTGTCATTTTTCCCACGAACGGATCGGATCGGATTATCCGACAATAGGTACCGGCACTAATCTTGAGCGCTGACCTTCAGTTGAGCAGAAGTCGATTTTTGGGTCTATTTTCAGGTATGTTGTTGGGGGGGGGGGGCAATTAAATCATAACGTCAGCCAATGATTGGTTCTACGATATTGTCACTACTCCTGATTCGTTTTCTCGTACTTTAGTACGACGAGTACACTTCCGAGCAAATTAATAGGGTCTTTCTTTTTAATTAATAATTTAATCATTTCTACTTTCGCTATTCATAAATTTAATTTTCTGGTAGTACAAAATTGAGTTTTTTATGCAAGTGCATTAGATAGCGTTATGTATTCTCTCATATGTACGTATGACACAATACGACGATGAAGAAATAGACACCGTACTACGGTACTGGTAAGGTGTCGTCAGCTTACAGCTTCCATAACATCACTTTCTTGTCTAAAACTGGTAAGCTTTAGACAAGAAAATATTTTTTAAACAAAATTAATACTTACTTTTATAAAAAAATAATTAAAACCATTTTCTCTTACCTTAGAATCAATAAGAAGTTAAGTAGTAATCATGTCTTATGGTTTTGATATATTATTATTATATTCTAAGAAAAAATAAATAATAATAAATATGGGTGTGCATTTTATTTTGCCATAAGTGCACGATGCGCAAAGCTGTCCCCACTCTGCCGCCGAGCGCTCAAGATCAGTGCCGGTAAGTATATCAATGTATTAACAAAAAATGCACTTAATTGTAGAAGATATGTAAATTATAAGCCGCCGAGGCCTTGGCGATACATAGTAGTTTCTTTTCGTTATTATTAAATTATTTATGCATTTAATTAAATTATAAAGTTCTCTGTAGATTTATGGCATCATATAAAGCAAGTATTCTTCAGCCTCAGAGGACAATCCTAATTGCACGGTACCTACGAATTCTATATGCATTCGTCAGAGCATTGCAAAGCAAAATACAGTCCTAAGTGATCTGTTATCAAATCCAATTTCCTAGAATTTTGTCTTTAAAGCTACTGAACGAAAAAACTAAAACGAACTATATAGTAGGTAACTACTTCATAATGCTACTCGTATGATAATTTTCGCATTAATTACTATATATAATATACTTGTGAGTTCATAAAACCAACCAACCAACACGTATATAAAATCCCTTCAGAAAAGCAGATAGATAGGTAGTGCCAAAGAATCGGCGGAAAGGAATGATCTCTAGGTTTCGAGCACTTGCCGCAGGAAGAAGGACAGGACTATCTGTAGCCAAGACATAAACAGGCAAAAGCGAATACAGCAGCGCGGCGCAGAGAGTGGACAGGACCGTCCGCACATTCTAATCTCGGCTTAACCACAGGCTATTAGGTCTACAGTCTGTGAGACACGTTAGTGGACTTCAGTTGTTTTGGTCAGTTCGATTTCGACATTTGTAGGGTTTTACAAAACAGGTCTAGTGAAGATTATTGTTCTTAACAGTTTTTGAGACAGTTGTACACAACAATAATAATAATATTTATACCTGGTGTACCAGGTATAAATATACAATAATTAACTTAAATTGGGTTAGGCAAGTACAAGTGGCGGTTTTATCGCTCAGAGACAATCTCTTACAGGCAACCGGGATATGGAGAAAAAACATGAAGGGGAAGTTGTACAGGGTAGTGGATGGTGTGTTAGGAAATAGATAAGAAGAGGAAATCAAAGTAGTATATATATATATAAGATAGTGATAGTTCCACATAGTATCTATACCATATACTATGTGAGGAACAAGGTTAGTGGTTTTATTAAATACATATAATTAAATAAATACATGTGATTTATACCTAAGAAATACATATATTATATGAAACCTTATTGACTTAGTAGAAACATAATAAATTATGACATTGATGCCTCCCAGGTAATAATATTCCCTTGCTTTTTGAAGGAGGCAAGTGTTTGTTCACGTCTGATTATGACCGGTAGGGCGTTCCACAAAAGCACCACTTGGACAGAGAGGGAGACGTCGAGGAATTTAGTGGAATGTCCTGGCATTTTTAGTTTCAGGTTCTCTCTCATCTCAATAATTTGGGGTGTGTGTCATTTAAGAAGGTGGACCTTGATTTGAGGTAACGTGTAGTGAAAGGATTAAAGACAATATGTATGTCATAAATGTCATTTTCGTTTTTGGTTGTTATCTTTAATTTTATATTTTATAACATAATTAAGTCAATGCCTGTAGGTGATAGCTAGCTTTTAAAACCACTCAGAACCCGACCCACACCGCCTCGCCTCGTGCAAGTAACCGGATCGCCTTGCACTCAAGCTGTCCGCGCGGACGACAAGTGTCAAGACGACCACTCCATAATAATTAGCTGCTCGAATGCTTGCTTTGCGTTGACTGCGCATTGCACACACGAGTTCTGAGGGGATCACCTGTCGACAACTGCGCGAGCTATGACTTCAAACGAGCACACGGTACGCCTAACAACAAGCAGTTACCAATGATGTCTTTAAACATAGTCAACAACAATTTATAGCACTAGTCTTGCTTTTAGAAAACGAATACTTCATTGTAAGTTTTCAATCAAAGGACACTTATATAAACATCAATTGTTATATATAGAAAATGACTCATTTTAAACTAAATAAAATACCTTAGAAAAATATAGCTTGTTTTATTTAATAATTACCATTAGTTATTTCTGAGGTACATGAAAACTAAACGTGAAATTAATTGTACTGTGTTTAATCAATACAACGCAACACTAATTGAACATGTGAAAATTTCATTATTGGTGAGCCCAGCCACTACAGAATTGAAATTGACATCAACATTTCGAAAAATAATTTGAATTATACACAATCTAGCCGTAAATTAATCGCTTAAAGCAATATATCATTGCGAGCGAATAAAAAGAATATATGTAAATAAGGCGGTGGCCAACATGTACCGATCAGTGTGTAAGTAAATTTAAAGTTAACTTATTTTTTTATTTTATTGCATTATCAACCGGGCACTTTACAGTACGCATCCTATTAAGTACATAAGTAAAATTTTAAAGTGCTTTCTTTGATAATCCACATTTTTATTTCGTAAGTATCAATGACGCTTTTCATCAATGCAAATGGTGTGTGATTCGACGGAAAAAGCAAAAACAGGTTTTAACTTAAAAAGGGGCCGTATCGTTTTGTGACCCTTGTGAATTTTTTCTCACCAAGCACTTTTCCTAACATGTCAAATCAGCACTATCAATGTTTTCTGTTTCAGTAGTTTTCTTGCAGTTACAAGTTTTGGTATATTCATCAACGTTTGCTTCTCCAAAGAACGATTATCATACAAGTAAATTTGTCGATGGTTTGGGTCACATTAATAGTATTTTAGCCCAACCCAAACGCTGGAAACGACACCTAAAATTCCTAGGACAGATAGCTAACACTACACAACTACTATCTACAACAAAAACTGACCTTTGCTTTGATGCTATGGAACCCCACTATGCTTTGCTATGGAGTTTATCTAAAAAATATTTTAGCGAAAGAAGTAACGATAAGATCAAAACCGCCGAAAACACTGATTTCCTTGACCCTATAATATTGGGCCTAGACCTGCTTGCTAGAGCACGAAATAAAAGGCAGTCAAGAGAACATAATAATACAACACTGCGGCCAGGTTCATTGAAGAAATTTATTACTGATCACTTAAAAAAGAAACAAAACAGCGAAGAAAACGCAACAAGAAGGGCAGCACCGCATCGCGTTTTACCACTTGGAACAAGATGATTCCGACAATTATGTAAACGATTATAATAAAACATAAATAAAATTAACAAATACGGAAAACAAGAACAGATAACGGGTACGGTACAAAATTATGTCCTATTTGCCTGCAATGGAATTCATATGCACCTCTAAGTAAAGTCTTAGTATCATTTAATTCAATAGCTTTTCCAGATTCCTGATTTTTTAAATTGCCTGGAAATATAAAATGATGTCGAGTATATACGACTGATTTATTTCAGGAATCCTTGATCATTTATATCCAAAAATATTTTAGAGACTGTTCTTCGACTATGATTGTTATGTTGCAATGACAGTATTCCCTTTAATGGACAATGTAATGGTACTAACCGCTCCAGCGGGCACGCGATTAGATAACTTCTTATCTCTTGGAAAATCAACACCATCAAATACTAACTAGCAGTAGTAGTATTTAATGATATGCAATCATATAATTTTATATATCAGTTTCAATAGTTGTAATCGTGTTCTTTATTAATGATTCTTAAAAAATCCGCCAACTATTATCTGATTAACCAACCTTTAATTGCTCCCCGATCCCTCGATTTAATTGACCGTGCTTGTTACTTCTATTATCGCTATGGACGGTCGCCACATCATTTCAGTTATAAAACATTTAATACTACTTATATATATATACTATAAGTTTTCACCTATTTCAAGCCTTAACTTAAGGAATAAACGAACTTACACATATTTGTGTGTGTATTTTCAAATATAGTGATAGTATCAAAACTTATTGATCATAACTGGTTTCGTGGACTTACAATGAATAAATAATAAATAAAAAGTACACTAGGAAATCTGCTTGTACTTGTTGTACTAAGGACTACCTCAAACAACCAGAAGACAGTGCTATGCAGTGCAGTTCCACTAGTACGTACTAGTAAGCTCAAAAACTATATTTCTCCCATACTCAAATCTTATGGCCCAACGCAGACCGCAAGGAGCGCAGCGGAGAGGTTTTTTTTTAAGATAACTACCGCATTAGGAATTTATTCTATATCGCGGGGGACTTTGACTCAGTAAAAAAATTATCCCATATGGGAGATAAAACCTACAATACTCAGCGCAGTAAGAAGCGGCGTTAAACCAATACGACAACCGTGCACTCGAAAATAAACTTTAAAGTTATTGCTATAAAGTACATACATGGGAAAAAAACTTTTGTCTGCGGTCCGCGCGGCGAGGAGAAAATACGCGAGACCGTGCGATGATAATTTCGCTCGGTCTGCGCTAACCCTTACACTATTACGTAAACTAAATATCACATAAACATACCTGGATAACTTTTTTGTAACAGTTCAACTGAATTGACATTCATTTCTAATTGATCCACGTGATGTTGTGAGAAATAGCCGAACTTAAGTCCTCTGTGCACGCTGCGAATGCCACTGGTGGGCGAAAGGATGCCCATAATTATTTTCAATAACGTTGTTTTACCTGCACCATTGTCTCCGACCTATAAATAAGCTTTATAGTATAATTTTCAATTACGGTCCACGGTTCATAAAAGCTTAACTAATTTACTAAATTTACATCATACTAATAGCTATATTAGCTATATATATATATATATATATAGAGCTAATATAGCTATTATATTATCCTTTTAAAGACATAGCTCCCTCCTCTCCTTAGAAAGGAGGTTTTGGCCTACTATACCACGCTGGCAGACGTGTTGGTATAGGGTTTGTTTCAAGTTTTCCTTCTTTTTGCATGGCTGTTGTCCTGTGCAGTTTGTTCCCTTAGTCGGCTCTTACATCCCGTATTCTTAATCCGTAAATAAATATAATCTCGTATATAATCTTCTTATAAAAGATAAAGTAATCAGATATTATTGTAAGACTTGTCGTGGGATAATGACCTGGTTTATAAACAGTGTGTTAGAAATTAAGACCATATATTCGGTAAAAATAATATAATGTAACAAACAGGTAAAAACAACATGATTATTCATGTATTACGGGGCCGTGTCATCATACTATTTACATTGTATGTATTTTCTCACGAGTCATCAACATCTATTATTATAACAATCACTACACTGCTTTTTGTCCCACTTGGTTTGCAACCTCAATAAAATCGTAATAAGGACAGCAGCAGACTGAATAAGTATTATGCAGGTTTTTAAGTATGTATTTCCACTTAAAATATAATGTGGTTCGATATCCAGAAGTTAATTCTGAAAGTTTGTATGTAGAAGAATATAATGGAAATTAAATTGTGTTAACACTAACAATCTGCCCTGGCTTTGCAAGGGTAGCAGGACATATAATTAATATCGTTATCGCTTATTTAAACATATTTTTGTTTATATATATATCCATTTAAATGGCTATCATAGCATTTCTTCGATTAATAGTCTAGAAATGTTTACCAATTATGAAAATCAGTCAGAAAAATTGTAGTAGTAAAAAATTATACATTTATTTAAACGAAAAATCAGCTTTGGAATATAGGTCTATAATTATATTATGAAATTAATAAAAACGATTACAATTATTCAAAAACATCAAATCCTAATTATATCGTCATTGACATTTACACCATCTTGACTGCGGCAGAATGAAGGTTGACTTTCGAGTATGTGTGTATTTTTTTGTCACTCTCTGTAGTCTAAACGACATAATGGATTTGGCCTTGGGAGGTGTCATTACTGTCATTAGATTAGGCGCACCGTGAAAATTACACTGGTTACATGAAAATTATACTACTTAAAATCACCTGTTTGTAAATTTTAAATAAATTTTCATTTTATGTTTTTAAAATGAATAATTAGACTGTTAACATAGTAAAGCACATTGATGCTCAAATTTTAGTCGAACCATTTACATAACAATAACAAACAGTAATAAGTTGGATATACTTACAATACATATCCTAGACTCCAACGTAGCTCCGAGATTTACATTCGAGAATATCACCCTGTCCTTAGAGTAGTAGAAGCCAACTTCATTTAACTGTAGTATGGGGGGTGATAGCGGTTCCGTTTCTGGGAATCGTAACACAACGTCTACTTCCTTTTCTACTGGTTTCAATTCAGGTCTGTGAAATAAAAAGTGATCCTATTAAATATTATACTCATAACATTAATTGCTTTGAAATGACTTCATTCAAACTCGTTTATGATATTGAAAATTTCTGTTCAACAAATCATATAATCTTTTTATTTATAAGTACTTTAGGAGAAGGAAAACGAATAATAATAGTATAAGATTCAGTGTTAACACTGGTTTTGCCAAAACCGGCAAATACCCACCATAATCCGCTTGACGGATACATTTATTATGACTTATTTCACTATTACCATATAACAATCAATATATTCAAACATCATTATGTCTCATTATGAATATGTACGGCTGTTAACGCGATCCAAGTTTAATAAGTTTATATCGTTTTTAATAATTGATAAGTATTTAAATAATTGATAAGATTTCATTGAAACCTTTACATATTGGAATAGATTATGTATATTTTGCTTACTTACAGCTTTTCAAGCATTTTGATCTTGCTCTGTACAGAAGACGCACGGTTGGCATTATATCTGAAGCGATCAATGAACTCTTGGGTGTGAGCCCGGTGTTGTTGCTGCGCCTCGTATTCTCGTTGTTGGTTCTTTAGTTTTTCTGTTTTAGTCTTGTGGAACTGTTCATAGTTACCTCTGAATCACGGAAAATATTTTTTTTATTTTTTCAATTAAACAACACAGTACATAACATTAATTGAAAGTAATGCCGAGTATTATTAATTAATTGTTCTTAATGTGGCTGGTTAACTTTAATTTTAAATGTATGTATTTAGTAGTATACAAATTACCTGCAACCCTATTACCATTGGTAAAGGTTCCGCCTCGTTTGCGATCATAGGCCCTAGTGTGAGTTTATTTTACTGTGACTGCGTTCGGCGCTTTGATTGGTGTAGAGTTCAGCGCGGGCCAATCGCAATGTCGAATGCGCAAGGTGATTCAAGTTAATAATATTAGCATTACTACAAAATAAATCTTTTATCGGATTCTATATCTTCAAAAATGTATGATGCAACATCAACTCACCTATAAGTGTCTATCCTTTGTGTATGCAAATGCATTATATCTGTGGGCACTGTGTCTAAGAAGTTTCGATCGTGAGAGACAACCAGTAGTGTGGTTGGCCAGTTCTGTAGGTAATTCTCTAACCAGATGATTGCTTTAATGTCCAACATGTTAGTAGGCTCGTCCAATAGTAAGAGATCAGGTCTGTAAGAAATTCCAACAAATATTTTAACTTTAGACCACTTAAATTTCTGTGCGCCTTTTTTCCTAGATGTCAAATTTAATGAAGCAGTGTAACAATACATAAAAATGATAAGTTGGTTTGTGTACACTTCAAAATCTCAAAAAGTTCGTGATTGAGCTTAAATTTTGTCAGTTTTGTTCCTCACTTCTTATCAACACAACCATAAGTTCCACAGCATAGCATGGCAGGTTACAGCTGGTATTTTATATATACTTATCACATCACATGAACAGCCTTTAATAGTCCTCTGCTGGACATAGGCCTCTCCTTAGAAAAAAGGTTTTAGCCTACTAGCACAGACAGGTTGGTGTTGGGTTTGTTTCAAGATTTCCTTCTCTTTGCAGTGCTGTTGTCCTGCGTAGTGTGCTCCCTTAGTTGGCTCTTACGACACCCATGGGATGAATAGGGGTGGTGAAACCCTGGATTCTTAATCCTTCACCACACACAAACCACACACCAAATATTTATATATTATTAATATTATAAAATATACTAGCAAGCCCAACAGACGTTATCCTATACACACTTCTTCAGTAAAAAAACAATTTGTAGTGGAACCGAATTGTGAATTTAAACCATTCTCTGTCCAGCCGTTTAGAAGGAGTTCAGTCACATACACACACTCAGAAGAATTATAAATATAAAGCTTAAATATATATACATATATATATCTAATATTTTGTTTTACCAATTGACCACACATATCCTGTACGATTTTTATAGCAGCACATAGAGTAACTGCCATTTATATTCTACATCGAATTTTTTAAGTTTCTAAAAACCTAGTTTGTACTAATAACAATATTTTTAAACTATATTAATGATATGAATCAGTCTCATCATTCTCAGATAATCTGCCTAGCGAGAAACGAACAGCTTTTAACCTTTTTGTATCTATCGAAGATAATTTAACTTATTAAATGTTGAGTCATTTAAACATGAACTTGAAAATTAGATATTCAGTGAACCAGTTACAATGAATATTTACAAATGTATGTAAAGAAAACTTAATATATGAAATGAAAATAATTCAAATGTACTCACTTTGAGAACAGAGCTCTAGCGAGAGCCAGTCTCATCCTCCAACCACCAGAGAATGTCTTAGTGGCCCGCGCTTGCATCTCCGGAGTGAAACCTAAACCACTCAGGATGATAGATGCTTTTGCAGGTGCTTTGTCTGATTCAATATTCTCCAATTGCGCGTAAATCTCAGATAATTCATTCGACATACTCGGGTCTGTTGATCTGAGAAATGAGATTGAAATCATGGAAATAAAATCACTGTTGGAGTGATAGAAACATGTTCTAAAAAGTATTCACATGGAAGGAATTAATCAATACTGAAGTGAGTTATGACAGACCTTCGCAATATTAATACAAATTAAATATGTCAATGTTAATAATGGGTCCTGGTACAAGAAATTAAGGTGGGACTAATAAGTGCCCCTTTTTGTTCATCTTTTGAATACTACACAACAACAAATGATAATTCAACCTTTTTTACACAAAAGTAAAGGCCTACAGTGTTTCTTTCATATTAGTCTGCATTAAAAGTTAGTATCATTCAATATAGTTCAAAATGTTAATTTGAATTATTTAGAAAATACTTACCCATTATTTATAGCCAAGGTTATTTCTTTTTCACGTTTCAATAAATTTTCCCTAACAGTATCACATTCCAACACACTTTGTAGTGCTACTGTATCATCACCCACAACTTCTTGCTCTACATGCAATATTGATATATGAGAAGGTATCTTTAACTGTTTTGCAGAGATCATCCTAAGAAGTGTAGTTTTACCAAGTCCATTTCGTCCTACGAGACCATAACGTCGACCACACGCAAGCACCAAGTCGGCACCTTGTAATAACACTCTGTAACAAAGCCAAAGTAATTTATGAAGTAACAGTGTATTTTCTAATATTAATTTATCATTTAGACGATTTACGAGCATTGTTCATGACGGCCTTACAAATATTCATTTCGGTATATGAACTTCTTAATTGAAAAGCAATTGAACAGTTTACTTTTGAATTCTTGTAGTGTTTATAATAAAAAACCATTAATAGTGCTTGCACTAAAGCATTAGTAGCAGAAGAATACTGAGTTGTCTCATTAGTGTGTTATGTGCATTGTCACATCATTGTTTTAAATTAATTTTTTGAGGTTCAGGCCTGCTGGCCAGATGGGTTAATATAGTGTTTAGTCCTGCGTAGTTTGTTTCCAGAATCGACTCTTACAACACCCACAAGATGAACAGGGGTGGTGACACTCCGTATTGTTAACCCGTCACCACACGGATACTAGTATTACTTTGGATATACATATAATATTAATTAAATTAAGTTGCTGTAAATAATTGTTACTCAATGTAAAAAGAGAGATAATGTTTTCTTCTCTGTAAGAAACATACCTGTCACCATAAGCAATGTCAAAGTTCTCTATCCTAATATCTTGTGTTCTATTTGTTCCCTTAGCTTCTAACTTGCTATCCTTCTTAGATGTCACTTGTGATGCTGTTGCAGTCTGTAGAATTGGTGCCGACATTGGTACCTTGGCATCTTTTTGCTTTTGTTGTTTCTGTTGTAATTTTGCTTCAGCCTTCTCTAATTTTTTTGCATCTACTTTCTAGAAAGATGTTTTATTAAATATCTATTATTAAAATAAATCCATATATTCTCAAGATTTAAGACACATTTTATCAACAATTTAAAAATACTGAGTTTTTTACACCTAGAAATGTCTGTAATATAGAGTATTTTTATTATTTATTTTTAAATGAAACCTTAATCATTTGTAATTTATTTATTATTAAAAGAAGTATTTTTTAAATTAATACAGATGGATTAAAATAAAAACTTCAAATACTTTAAGATAATACTTATACTGAATATGTTAGCAACTTACAAAAACCAAAACTAGTGATAATTAAATAATTTAGGTATATACATTTTCTATAGAACTTAAATTTGCAGACAATGACAATTGATGTTTTATCATTGATTGGGCTTCAAGGTTATTAACACATATATTTATTTGTCATATATATAATAATAACATACCAAATTCTCATCTCTAGACTGTATCCATATACTTTTAAGTTCATCTGATTCATTATTTGTAGTTGTCATAGAAGCTAAATGTATTGGTGCATCCAGCACTTTTCTAGGGCCATTACTGTTGCCTGGTTTATCTGGCTGCAGCATATGCAATAGTTGCTCACATATTTCTCTGTAATGGTAACATAAGTAGTTAAATAGTTTTATTTTCAATATATCAATAATTTTTAATTTAATGGAAATTAAAACTCAAACCTTATATCTTTTTCAGATTTTTCGGAAATACCCTGCAGCACTTCACCGACTGCTTCGTAAATCTCTTCCGTATCCTCAAACTCACCAGCACTACCGTCCAAAATATCTAAAAACCAACATACTGGTATAAAATGGCACCCTTAAAAACATAGTAAATATAGTTTTTAAACATCTGATATCAGCTATATTACATTTATCATTAAGGATAAGGATCAATAAAGCGAAAAAATATGCAAAACGAATGAATCTGACTACAAAAAATACAAATAAGAAGTCCTTTTTATAACCTACAGAAACCATACCTTCAACGTATTTCTTCAGTTCTTCATCTATCAGTGGGAATTGACTTTTAATAAAGTCACCACAATGTGCCATTTTTATTTATTCAGTATAAATAACGATTAATTATTATAAATAACATTTATCATTTAAAAAACGCTAAAGCTCTATTAATCGTTCGGTGTCACGTCACGTCACATCAACGAACGAACTAATGTCAAAAATTAATGTCAAATTATTGACAACTAGATTAAAATGATCAATCTTCTCCTAATTCACATTCTGTTCGGAAAGATTTTTGAAGTAAAACTTTTTTACGCACGCTTGACTTGGAGAGTAAGCTGGTGAATGCGTGACGAGAGCGTTACGAAAAGTGTGATTGGTTGAGGCGAACGGAAGTGAAGAAGAAGAGGGAGATATGTTACTCAAGATAGGAAGAGAGAGAGTTACGTTTCGTATATTACTGTAGGGGCAAGAGAGAGGTGCGAGCACACATTTTCTTTCTCTCTTTCTCACACAGTCAAGAAGTTTTATTTCAGTGGTGTGGTCTAAAGCACATTCGTTTTTTTATGGAATAAGAGGCAAACAAGCAGACGCGTCACCGGATGGAAAGTGACGATAACTTGTTCCACGGGTGGGTAGTGCGAGGCAAAAAGTGTCTTGAAAAGCGCACAGTGGTGGAGTGCTAATTATTCAAGTGGTGGGGATGAAAATTTTGCTGTGTGGAACGATGTGAATAAGTAACGTTCGAATCTCGTGTTTGAGGATTATTTTATAGCCTTTTTGACACGATGTCAGCGCAAAATCGGCAACAGTAGCCTTAAAATGGTTTGGTTAAATGAAATTGGAACATCATTAGGCGTTCGTCGTGGTGGTAATCGTACAGATGGAGTCAATACATGTCACAACTACCATTACACATTCTGAATAATGAATTTTGTTAAGAACTGTGACTGTTTCGTTATAAAGGTACCTACTTTTTTTTTATTTACATGTAATTTTAGACAATTACACTATGAATCCGTAATAAGCCCAATGCAAAGTGATTGAGTCTGAATATTCTTTTGTCTGAACTTCAGACAAATGCATGTCTAGACTTTGACAAGATTTGGGACTTGGGACACATACCAGAAATATTCACCCAACTTTTGGCTGATAGTCTAACTAGAATCTTGCTGTACATAAACTAAACGTTGCCCACAATTACATTGCCAGCTTTTAAAATCACACTAACTGACTGATGTCATTCATTAACACATCCAACGATGTGAATGCAGAGTACGAAAATATTTAAGAGAAAGTAATAAATTTCAAGATCTCTTGAGTTTAGCATCTAGTAGCTATACTTGAACTTAAATTGCATTTTGCAATAATTAGCTAACACTATTACATAATGCTCCTGTTTTTATTTATGAGCCTGTGAGACGTCTCTGTGCACGGTCACTTTGTTAGTTGGAAAACGCCTAATTTAATGACACAAAATGGATGAAAACATTGATAACAATGTTGCCGTTCTCGCTATGTTGGACAATCAATGTAAGTAAACAAACAAGGAAGTGTCAAATAAGAGTATCTCGAGTACTCAGTCTAATATATAGGTATATATAATACCTGTGTACTACTGTACACAAAGGAAATGGGTAAACATTGACATAGATGGCCTGAGATGTCTTGATATGTTTTTATCTTATTTTCAGCCACCACATACAAACCTAATTTACCTATAACAAACTATAATCACAGTCACACAATGACTCGAGAGGAATCCGAAGTAAATGAAACTAATAAACAAAGTATGTTTTGAATTTGACTTTTCTTTACATTAATATTTGGTGCAGTGTTTAAAATGAGAACTAAGTATTTTTTTTATTTATAGATGTAATTTGGACTAAAAATGCAACACTTATGCTCTTGAGCTTGTATGAAACAAAAATGCACATGTTGGACAACCCAAAAAAGAAATCCAAAATGTGGATATCAATGGCAGAAGAATTAAAAGCATTAAATGTTGAGGTACTAAGATATACTACATAGGGCTGACAATAATATTTAGGGATACACTCAAATTAAGTTGCTAATTTAACTAGAAGAATAAGTTTAAATATATATAATAATGTACTTATATTTTGTTCTTACTTCAATTAATAGATTTACCCCAATACAACACTTTCTCTAAGTCTATATAACAATGCTAGGGACAGAGAGAGCTATTATACCTACAAGTAAATCATTATTTTCTCTACAAACTGATCTACTCTACAAAAAAAATATTTGTTCATATATTAATGAAAAAAAGAAACTAGACAAATTAGTGAACTTTTTAGATTCTGTACTGAACTATGAATGAAATAATTTACAGTATTTCAAAAGTAAAAAATTACATTCTTATAGGTAACTCCAGATCAAGTCCGGTGGAAAATAAATGCTCTAACTAAAAAATATAAAGATTGCATTGACAGTGGACAAGGTGCCATGGCATTCAAATTTTTTAATGAAATGCATCAGATACTGGGGCAATATACTGATAATTCAGGATCATACAGATTAGCATCAGGTGTTATGCATGGCCAAGATGAGTTAGATAAAGATAAAAGTAAAAAAAATATATTATTAAAATCATCCACACCTTTTAGAAAGTTGAGAGTGGAAAGGAGAGCGAAAGTAGAACTAGATAATCAATGGATGGACTATTTAAGAAGGGCAGGAAGAACAGAAACATATAAGAGATGAACGATACGAAAGAAATTTAAGGTTACGGGAAGAAGAATTACAACTGAGGAAGAAAGAATTAGAAATTAAACAAACACTAGCATTAAAGAAATTGCAACTAAAGGAAAAAAAACAAGAAGAAATGCTAAAAATTGAACAAGAGAAATGTGCTCTTCTGAGAAAATTATTAGGAATACAAGATGTTTTATCACAGTAATCATTACTTTTAATAGTGGGCCAATAAGCAAAAAGGTATTGTGCACATAATTTCAGACAAGTACAGTCTAGAAAAATACTTCTATAGATGACAAGGATAAATAGAATTCTGCCATGTGCTAACATTTAAATATCTATATCTAAGTGTAACTAAATCAGTCATGAAGTAATATTGATAGCACAATTACTCTTGTAACTCAGCTTTGACTACACAGATGGTATAGTTGTGTAAGCTGTCACCTTGCCACTTCCTACTGCGCTGAGTGTTGTGGATTCGATCCCCCCATGGGACAACATTTTGTGTGATCTACAAATTGTTGTTCTGGGTCTGGGTGTTCTTTGTGTCCGTTTCATGTATGTTTGTAAAGTCCCAGACATATTTCTAATGCAAGAGGTATTAAATGCCTTCCCTTAAACTGGTTACTAATGTAATCAAAGGTTTTGATAAGTACAATTTAATCATGTTCTTCTAAATGATCATTTTCATCAAGACAATAGTTGTGAAGAACACATGCAGCAACAATTGTATCAGTTATAAAGGCTATATTTCTATACACAGTAAATAGTTTTATTCTTCTAAATCTTCCTTTTAAAAGACTGAATGCTTTATCACTTAATTTCCTAGTAGTTATATGCAAAGAATTAAATTCTCTTTGCTGTGGTGTTAATCTCTTGTTTTCCCGAAATGGTGGTAAAAGCCATGGCAATGAAGGATATCCTGAATGACCTACAAGGAAGGTGTTATGTGGGAACAAAGAGTCTTTGTTTTGTGTAGCTGTGTGATACAAAGGTGATTTCTTTAGTACTCTAGAGCTATTTGAAGAGCCTGGTTCTCCACAAAATACGTTAGTGAATCTTAAATTTGCATCAATTGTAGTTTGTAAGATAATTGAAAAGTATCCCTTGGGATTACAATAGTCTCTTGCGTTTTTTGGCTTCTCTATCTTAATATGAGTACAGTCTATAACTCCCACCATGTTTGCAATACCAGTCTTAGCATGAAATGCATCACATATGTACTGTATTTCTTCCAAGTTTTGAGGCCATTTTATGGCATCATTAAGTTTAGTTAAAATCCAAGCAACAACTCTTCTTATTACTCTAAATGTTGATGAGATGGAAATATCAAATCTGGTTGCAATAGGAGTCAATGGTTCTGTATTAGCAATGAATGATAAAAATATGTAAAAGCATAACTTAGGCTCCAGCGGTTTTAATCCGAATTTATGTGAAGCAATAAATCCAGACTTTTCTAATTCATCTGAAATAATAAAAACATTTTGTGTAAAATGAATATGGTTACTGAATTATCATTGATTTCAATGAAAGTGTTACCAATAAGCCGAAACGCCGTTTTTCTAGAGACTCTCATCTTAGTTTTGAATTTGGAATCTGTCCAAGAGTCTATTATATGCAAATAATCATCCACCCTTTTGCGTCTCAGTCGTATAAGATATTGCATTAGAGGGAAGAACAGTGTATCATCATCGTCATCACCACGTTCGTCTTCGTCTTCTGAACTCTCAGGCTTGATGCTACAAACATCACTCCAACCGCTTGACTCACTCTCACTGCTGCTATGAACTGTTTCAGTCAGAAAGATTACAAGTTCATTTGTGTTCATTGTATAATTCAACGTTCTATCCAAAAAGTTAACAGGTCATCCATATATCGGCAAATCTTTATTATTACTACATTTTAATACTTAAAATTAAATTATTATAAATTGAAAAATAAACAAACAATAATCAAAATGTTTTTACGACATTAACTGACATTGACAGTTCTTAACACGTTTTATAAATGTTAATAGAAGTGAATTTTAAATGAAATTACCTAAAATGATTCGTGTTGCGACTGGCGAATTTTTTTTTAATGAGCTATAAAGTAAATTAAAAGTGAAAAAGTAAGTGATTGGTTAATCTGAAATATAATATTAATTAAATTTCCGACTATCAGTCGGACTTTAAAAAAATAAATATCCAAAAAAATATCGATACATTGGGCAATATTATAATGTTGTTGTAATGTCGATGTATCGAGATAATTTGTTCTATTCACAGAACTGACAGAACCATAGAGATTTCTCTACTAAACTGACAGAACCTAAAAAAAACACCCCGACGGCTGGCCTCAGGGCCTCAGCTCCTCGCTGGAATAGAGATATATCCTAGAGAGAACAAGAGCCTTCACAGCACATCATCACATCAACAGTCCACTGGATGTAGACCTCTGCTTAGAAAGGAGGTTTTGAAGAGCCCTAATCTTGCAATATATGCCTATATACTCAGACTCAGACTCAGAATGCCAGGAAATTCATGCCCAACTCAACGACGCTGTGATAAAAGCATATTATTATTCCTTGACATGGATGTTGCCTAAGTTCACAATAGTAAATACTTACTTTTTATGTGAATCTGTTGTGAAAACTAAAATAAATATAAAAACGACAGCTTTGTATAAAGAGTTGCTGGCGCTGGTTTTGCCCATTAATTATTTAGATTCAGTACCAATAGAAATGATTAATCCGACAAAAGAAAGAAATCACAAAGATTTGAAGGATATTTATCTGGACTTGGAGTTCAAAAGCAGTTGGAACTAATTCAAGAAGACTGAAAAGCAATATTTAGGAAAAATGACAACAATTTATAATAACAGCGTGCACAGGTATCCATAAGAGATATCCAATAAATAACACAGTAATGAAAGCTATTTCAAACTTAGACCCAGAGTGTTTCCAAAGAAAGACTCGAGAGCCTCGCACATATATTTACGCTACCTCCTAGATGGACCCCAAAGACGTTAAGTGCACAGCAGGAACGCCATGACGAATGGCGCAGGCTACTTTTACACTTACCAAAAGATTTACATGCAAGTCAGCTTCCTCCTGATAATTTCTGGCATCAGGTTGCGCAAATGAGCGTAGAAAGCAGAAAGGTTTTTCAGCAGCTACCGTCATTCATGCTCGGAATGTTATCTTTGCCGCACTCCAATACGAGCGTATATCCGGGAAGGTCTTTGAAATAATAACAAAGAAACTTAATAAATTGTTAACCCGGTAAGGGAATCTTCTAATGCAATAGCCGATCAAAACACATGGAAAAAACTGTATTAACTTAAAGCCTGATGATGAAATGCTGCAAATACAAAAATGAGAAATTATTGTATGTTATTCAGACACTTTTATTACTGACAATATCTAAATATTTTTTAATAATATTCTTATGGTAATATTGTAGTTTTCCCAATAAACAGTATTTTTTTCTGTCAAAACTGTTGTTTTTATTAAAAACTCATACACCGTATTTCTCCTGGCACAATTTCCTTAATTTCTGAGAATCTACCTTTTTTTAAATGGAATCACCGTCCTCCTGAGTTTTGACATAGCAACACTGTTGACACTTGACAGTGACACAATATCCTTGAATTTACATTCATCAATCATCATCATTATTTTTACTTCGTTGAATTAACTGCAATGTAAACAAATAGGAAAAAATGAATGTATGTGGGATTAATGAAGTTTACAGTATTTTAGAAGAACGTAAGTACTTTAATAGTAGGTATTTAAATCAAATATCATTTTTGATGTTAAACAGCAAGTATATAATGATAGTCTGTGCTATATATTTCTAGCTTCCCAAGACCACTTGGAAATTTGTGAAAGTACCACTGATGAAATCCCTCTTAACGAAGAAACTAAAGTAAATGAAAGCACTGAAAAGCATTGTGAGTATCATCAGTGTGAACTTAGATTTCATTTTCATCAAGTCAATTATCATTAATAGTTAAACTTTTAGGTGCAGTTTGGAATGCTAGAGCTACTTCGATATTATTAAAACTGTATGAAGAAAAACTAGAGATGATAGAAACACCTAAAAAGAAAACAAGAATATGGATAGCAATAGCAGAAAGCTTAAGAGATTATAACATAGAAGTATGTATGGTATCATTTAACTTACATTTTATTCATAATTACATGATTATACACTTCTCACCTTCTTGACATCATTATGCATATTTGTTATTAACAAACAAAAAAATTTGTCCTGTTTTGTTTTGTTGGATGTGGCTTTATATAACTTTTTTTAATTATGTTATCAGGTGTTTTTCATATATTTGTTTCTACATTTCTATTTTTGGCCTTGCTTATTTAGTGATGTGTGCTATTCTTCCTCTCAAACCGTAGGGTGAGAAATTTAGTTCACTGCAATACTAGTCAAGTAGGCCAAAACCTCCTTCCTAAGGAGAGGCTTATGTCCAGCAGTGGACTATTAAAGGCTGTTGATATGATGTGAATCACTAAAAATTTATAGCATGCTTTTTTTTATTTATAGACTGCATATTATCCTGATAATTAAAAAAAATGTTTACAACTAAAAATAACAATGTCTATTTAAATAAATACTTAATACTTTTGTGTTTACAGTACTAACTAATTAAGTCTTATTAAAATCAACACATAGGTAATCTGTATTGTCTCAACTCTTAAAATGTAGTTTATGATTGCATCAATGTTGAAAAATGACTATAAATTACTATTAGTGCCTACTTTATAACTTTTATGGTGTACACTTTAATAGCTATATTTTTACTAAAGAGAATTAGAAGAATTTTTTTTCAAAGAACTAACAGGTTTAAATAAAATTTTGCGATCATCAATTTTCTGAATAAATACTTAAACATTGTTTAATGCCTTACAATATCTTTGCAGATGACACCTGACCAGATAAGATGGAAAATAAATGCATTAACAAAGAAATATAAACAATGTTTGGACACTGGACAACATGAAAGATTCAAGTACTTTAAAGCAATGGATAATATATATTTGCAATATAATATAGATGGTGACCCTAACACAGCCACAGAAATTTTCCAAAAGAAAAAAGATCCTCACAGATCAAATAAATTGGCACATCAGTTTGGCCATGAAGCAAGGGCCATGATTAAAATGAGAAAAATTAGATTGGCAAATAGAATAGAATCTGACAGATTTCAAGGTAAAATACAATTGGAAAAACAATGGCTAGAATACCTTAGGAAGCAAGAAGAACAAAAGCAATGGAGAGATGACATTTATGAAAGGAATTTAAGATTGCGGGAGGAGGAGTTAGAATTGAGGAAGAGGGAATTGGAAATTAAAGAAACATTAGAACACAAAAAAATCCAGCTTATGGAGAGAGAACTTGATGATGTGTTGCAGATTGAAAGAAAAAAATGTAAACTACTTCAAGAAATGGTTACCAAGAGATGATGGTCTTAAATAATATTCTAGTATCTTTATATTCTTTGTGTGTAAACAGTCCAGCCTGAAAGGGTGCTAATCAAATCTCTTTCCTACTCTACAAAAATATAAAACAAATGAGAAATAATAATAAAGTTGCAGTAGAACATTGGGTACTCTTATTGGAGTTTATGATTTTGTGGAGGAATGGGTGTCATGTCCCTCCAACACAAAGGGAGGATCCTCCGACCAGGCGAGGTGATCATGCCTGGCGGGCCGCGGCCCAACGGTTGATGTTGGGAAGTTGTATATATGCTAACCAGCGAGAGAATTCTTTATATCGCGATACAGGATTAGCAATTCTTATTTTAGTAGTTACTCCGTAGTTCGGTGTGTCTTCATTAGATAGCGCTGTAGTATGTTTATGTGTCGAGTCGCCACATCTTCATACAGATATCCTTAGAATAAATAGCATGGATGAAGAAAAAGTTATTCTTACTAAGTACTAAGTCACGGATAGCAAGAAATTTAAATAATTTGTTGCACATATTTCTAATCCATAATTAAGTAAGTACTAACTAGAAACAAACTATCTTCTGATCACATTTCAGAAGAAATTATAAAACTGTTATAAAATGTGTTTAGACTTTGATATATGATTATGAAGTGGATCTAACTGTAAGATAGTCCACAAGCTAAAGGTAGCAAAACGGGCAATGGATTGATTGGTAACTATTATAAAATGTGTTTAGAGTTTGATATATGATTATGATGTGGATCTAATTGTAGGATAATCCACAAGCTAAAGGTTGCAAAACGGGCAATGGTCGCACCATTGCCCGTTAATGCTTTTATCCACCTATGCTTGGAGTTTCTACAAAGAATAACGTAATAAGGTCAATCAACAAAGAACCAAGTTTACCAACATATTTCGCAGTATAAGTGTGCTGGTAAATCTCAATGATCACATCTCGTCACGTCGAAGCTAAACTAAAATGCCATGGGTAAAGAAAGGAAAAACCTCGCCCAGGAATTTCCCCGATTCACTGTGTCTGGGGAATGGCTCCTGGAGCCAAACAACTTCGGCAGCGTCAAGCGGCTAGAGCAGACGTCCCAGGCATTGACCCCAAAGCCGACGCCATAGCGGCTAAGCTAAGGGAGTCGCTTAAGTCAGCTAACATCCGAGTGTCCAGGTCCACTAAATGCGCTGAATCACGGGCCTGGACGACTTTGTCGGCGGAGGTCGGGGATGGCCCTGGACAATGCGCTTCGGTTGTTAGCTGCCAAATCGCGGCGGCCCAAAATGTCACCGATGGGAGAAGCCTGCTGGTTGGAGGTTTCGCGAGGACTCCTGCTGTGGTCACTGTAGGTGACTTCTGCTTCCACTGTGCCCAGCGCGGTCAGAAGGCTGTTGCGGTGCCTACAAATACTCAACGACAGAAGAAATATATTGCGCCATGGTGCTATTAACATGTTGTATTTTCTCCATATAACAATTCTACATAAACATTTTGAATGAAAAAAGTGTGTTTACATCTTAATTTAATATATTACGACCATATATGGGACATCTGTTTCCTAGGGAATCATGCTGTCAAGTCGTCATTTGAGCGACTTTATTCTACGGTGATCACCGGGGAATCATCGGAGATTGCCCAAAAACCGTCGAATTCAATCGGTTGTCAAAATGCCGCTTTGGTGCAAACATCTAGTCTAAATAACACTTAACGTCGTTGAGATGCAAGTTTACAAAATATAGAGGTTACTAGCACTATTCTCACCAATTTGGCGATCGAACTAATGCGAACAAATCTATACGACCAAATACATGTATCATCTTTTGGAGCTGACTGTTTATGCTGAAACCGCCTTTCTAAGGAGAGACCTATGTCCAGCAGTGAACTTTAGAGGCTGTTGATGATGATGATGTACAACACTTGGTTATTTTTTTATTTCAAAGATCTTAAAAAAACTTAACGAATTAGAATTTAACTTTTACACAACCCAAAACCTAGCTTTCGTTAACCAATCCGTGGTCTCCACTCTAAGACACGTTTGCTCTAGCGTCTATCGATCCTACAGCACATGTAGACTAGTTTCAAATATTTTATTTTATTTGTTTAATTTTTATCTATATATCCGGTGTTAAGCAATTCTTTCGTTACCTTTTACTGAGTGAGTGAAGTTACCGGAGCCCAAATCCCCTCTCCCGATGACTTGAGCGGAAGGGACTCTAAGGGCAGCAACGCACTTGTGACTTTTGAGTTGCAGGTGTAAATGGGCGGCGGGAGTTGCTTACCATCAGGTGACCGGTGTGCTCGTTTGCCCGCCTTATACCATAAAAAAAAGCTATCTATCCGTTTTCTCCGACGTAGTTCTTTTCAAACATTTTTAATCTGACCTTAATGTTAATACGATAGACACATACAGTAGTTAGTTTTTCATACAGATATCCAGAAAGGTGTATCAGTATCGTTCTGAAAATACATAATTTGTTGTGTTGAAACAAAACTTATACAGTAATAATATTACTGTATAAGTTTTGTTAAATTATTTAGTTATTAGTTCACACTTTGTTGTGTAAACACAACAAAGTGTGAACTAATAGAAATCCAATTTAGTCGAATGAGTGAACATCACTATTGCTAAGAGTCGTCGGTAAATATTAAAAAGTTTGTCTACGCAATGCTACCAACATAATATCCCGCCGCGACGCAAAATTGTGTAGGAATTTTCATTTATTCTTTTTAAAATAAACCAATTATACAGTAAAATTTCGCAATGACAGACTTGAAATATAAACGATATGAGAAATCTTTAGGTTTACTTACGACAAAATTTGTTTCTTTGCTACAAAAGGCGAAGGATGGTGTTTTGGATTTGAAAATTGTAAGTATAGTTTCATATGCCACCCATGTCAAAATAATTTCGGCACGAAAACATCATTTTTGAATATTACTTGTGCAAAATTTTGTAGGCTACCAATTTGTTGGCGGTGAGACAAAAACGGAGAATATACGATATTACTAATGTCTTGGAAGGAATAGGTCTCATAGAAAAAAGGAGTAAAAACAGTATACAATGGAAGTGAGTGTTTACACAGAGTGATTGTTTTTGATGTGATCTGCATATCATAATAACTATATTCGTATTTATATAAATGGTTTGTGCAACTAAGATGCAACCCTGGTTTCAGAGGTGCAGGTCCAGATTGTAATACAAATGATATTGGTGAAAAAGTAACACTATTAAGAAAGCAGGTCAGTCGTTTAGATGAACATGAAAGATTACTCGATAAGTGAGTATAACTTTATATATTACTTAAATACAGAGGTAATTTATAATAATATAGCCTTTTTAACCTGAAACCCCTTATTTCCTAAATAGTACTAATTTGTCTTGTTCCTTTAATATATCCCGGAGTTCAGTATACCTCTTGGCAGAGGCCTCCTCTAACAATTTCAACTGTGAACCATCCTATTGTAACCTAATGTTAAATTGAATTCATCACTCATTTCCTGTCTCTAGGGTGACGATTTTACCCTTACGTATCCACCCAAATTGTAAGGTATTTGTGAATTTATTGAATTGAATGATTTGTACACGGGATAATTTTGATTGATTACAGACAATTACATTGGATTGAACAAAGTATAAAGAATGTAATGGATGACACAGATAATCAAGACCTTTGTTTTGTATCGGACAAAGATATAAATACCTGTTTCGAGGATGATCAAGTTTTAGTTATAGAAGCTCCTTTAGGAGCTGCAATATCAGGAGGAACTTTGCCTGAAACGGTAACTTATTATAATTTGTTTTTAGTAATTAAAAATAATGACACTTTATGTTTGTCGTTTTTCGCACAAGCTTAGTACTTGCTTTTTTAGTTGTTGACCATTACAAAAGAATAGTTTCAGGTGGAAATAACCGGATAGATCTATCAATTGCTTAAAATATAACTAAAATCTCCTGTCCTTTGTGCCTTGTATTACAGTGTATTATTAAGTATCAATAGTACTCGGTAATGTAAGGGTTAATAAGTGGACTTTTTTTTCAGGATAAAGATCAGAAATATTTTTTACATGTGAAATCAAATGAATCTATTGGAGTTATACTTTTATGTGATAGTGAAAGTGAAAAGGTGAGAATCTTTTGGTACTTCTAAATTAATACAATATTATTTATTTATTGTATTCTTTATTGTGCACATTAATATTACATAAGTGACAAAGAAATTTTATGTACAATGTTCATGTACAATAAAATTACAAAAATATTTCCATGGATGATGATGGTTATGAGTGTGTCTACTACATAACATACTGTCAGGGCATTGTGAGGTGTAATATATTTATGATATAGGGGCAATTGAACAGAGGGATTACCTGACAGAAAGTAACTACAGCCTTAGAAACTCTACAACTCAGGAGTCACAGGTGTTGCCAGTCTTTAAGGATATATTTTTAATTATTCATTACTTGATATCTGGTCCTGGTTTAGTAAGATCTATCCTACATGTTTTCAGGCTATGGATGAAGAGAGCATAGAAGACAGCGAAGTAAGGAGTTATACAGACAAATCATGTGACACTATTAAACAGCCTAGCAGTAAGTAGTACTTGTAACTAATGTACAAAACAACCATGTCTGATGCACTGAGCATGGTTATTGTAATAAAAAGGAGCTAGTTCCAAATACCAACTTTTGTTTATTAGATGTAAATAATATTGTTACGATGCACACTATTAACTCACTTTAAACATTATAAAAAAAAAGATTCCAACAAATTGATAACCTCCTCCTTTTATGAAGTTGGTTGAAGGGAATGCAATTTAACTTAATCTATTTTTAGTATAAATTATGTTGTATGACCTTAGTAATTAATATAATCCCATAAAATTAAACGAATTATTAAAATAAAATTTATTCAGTAGGCCAATAATTCTCGTAATCTCAAAACATCACGTGATTGAATTAGGACTGAATTATGACTAGAATGACAACAGGTATTCTATTCTGCTCATAAAAATACTTTCCTTCAGTATATTGTTGATCAACATTCAACCTCATAAAAATGTCGAACTTGACGTATAAACAGAGAATACATGAGAATACGAATTATGTTTCATTCAAACTAAAGTATCGCTTACTAAGACTAGCAGAATACCGATATTCACTTTTTCAACTTTCGGTCATAATATTATTTCAGTCATATGAGTCATTACAGTACAGTCAACATTGCTAGTTTAATACTTAACTACGAGAATACCTTTTATGACATTTGTGAGATCGAGAGTAGAACTGAAGTTTGATCGAATTTTTATTACGAGAATTGACCTGAACTGACTGATCAGAAGTGAAGAAATATAATAAAATTATTTTGACTTAAAATCCAGCATTCATCTTTTTTGTAGTTTATATTTTGACCACTATTATCGAACGTATTACGGTCAATACTCGCAAAGCTTCGGTTCTTAAAAAAATAATATAATTCTTTTTTCATTTCAGATTATTTACTGAGGCTCAGCCCACCAGCTAGTAAATACGATTTCTCATTTTCCCTACATGGGACAGAAGGACTATGCGACTTATTCGATTTTCCATATTAGCCTATACTATATTGACTTTTATATTTAATATTGATAAGAAAGACATTTTTATTACTCGGATTTTTGATCATGTTGAAGTTTATTTTACTATTTGTAAATAAATTATGTAAATATAGAAATCATATTAAAATTAAGAAAGGAAATAAATAATAAGATCTATGTATACAATATACTCGTTTTATTTCTTGGGTTTGGGGTTTGAAACAAATCGATCTAGTACACCAAATGATGGTTTCTTTGCAACCTGTGCTTCTGGTAAGTCGAGTATTTTTTTTGCTTCCTTTGCTTGTTCAATAAATTCCTAAAACATTCAAAAGTAAAATATAGGTTAATGTCATTATTCACATTAAAACAGGCTTAATGAATATAAATTTCAAATACTACCTTTCTAGCAACATCTTTAATGATCTTCTTTCTTGCTATGAAGGACTTGCCTTTAAGTTTCTTTTTATTTCTTGGTGTGAAGTCCATTTTCTTTGGTTTTAAATACTGTAACAACAATTATTTTTAATATTTTTCACTAATTAATTAATACAATTCACTACAGAAGGTTTATTCGTTATTTGTGAATTTTACACTTACTAGTAATTTCTTCTTAGCTTCCATTTGTTCTTGCATAGATGGTACATCAACTTCGGTAATATCAAATGGATTGAGTGTAATAAGTTCTGGAGGTATTTTGTCCAACAATGCTTTGACTTCAGCTTCTTTTCTTTGTTTTTTAGTTTGGAATGGATTACTTTCCAATGCATCAAAGTTAGGCTCGCCACTTCCTGAAAATAACATGGAAATAGAGAGATAAGTAACAAACTGGTTTTTAAACTGCCATCCAATAAACAAAATGCAATTCGCAACTTGCAAGTTTCAGCAATATTATTTTTTGATGTAATGTTGTGGTTTTTTACCTGGTACTAAAATGCTAGTAAAACCACTCCTAGTTCCAATTCCCAATACATCTTCGTAGGGGCAGAACTTGAAGTTATTTATTGTTTTTCCCATCCTATGCCTCAAGTAGGGTTTTTCGGTTGTTTGAGAGCAGCAGTTGCTGAAATTAATGTTTGTTTTACTTATCATACTATGAATAAATGTTATATAATTCTGCTTAGTTCAGATCGGGCGAAGATTTGAAATGAAACAAATAGGTATATTAAAACACTTGTTAAAAGCAATCTTTGTTTGTTTGTTTTCAGTTTAGATGTAGTGAATTACCGATGTATTTTACCCTAGTGCTATTAGTAATCAAAATGCAAAGCTTTTATCTGCAGTTTTGCTAGAGTCGTCTGTAAATTAAATAGCAATAAATTTACTTGTATATCTCAACAACATCATCGAGGCCCACTGCAAGCATGTCTTTCTGTGAGAACTCCAAGTATACCGGGGCACTCCTCAGTCGGTAGTCTTGTACTGGACCATCTAGATTTCTGATGTCCCATATCTTCATACTGCGATCCACCCCAGATGTGGCCATATACCTGTTTTAAAATATTTATATTAGTATTAGTTTATGATATATGACCTTATCACTCTTTCAAAAGTCTGTCTTTGTTTTGCCGTTTCCAAGATTGCTTATTACCTACTTCAATTTTGACTTCCTTCTCAATGACAACAAAAAACATTATGATTCTTAGTATCTGTTAACAGTTATAGTTAAACAGCCGTAAGCTTGGCCCTCCTAATGGTTCGGGGGACGCGGGGCGGGGGTGCATTCAACCAATTAGCTAGTGCGTCGCTGTCCGCCGGCAGTGACTGACGTGAAAGCATGGCTGTACGTGTTATTTTTCTTAAGACTGCTACACACGGTATTATTTTGCAATATGGATAATCTGCCGACTCTGCATCACAAAACGATTTAAAAACTTGAAGTTCGGCTTACAGAGGTTCTACTGTTCTTGTAAAGTTCTAATAAAAAATATTTATTATTTTACTTAATTTTTAAATTGTATCTGAATATAATTTACATGATGAAGATAAGGTGATTTTATTAAAATTATTTTACAGTATTAAATTTTACAATTAATCATAAAAACTTACAATACACTGACATTATAATACATGGAAATAAATTCGATTTTTATTACATAGTGTGTAGATTAAATCTCAAACAAATAAATCTGAAGATATCAAGTTAGTACATCGTGTCATGTACAGCCGAGCGCATCACCCGCCCCGCGTCCCGCAAACCATCAGGAGGCCAAGCTTACGCCGGTTTAACTATAGGTGGACTTAGATGAAATAGAAAAAACTAAAGTATAACTAAACAAAAAGTATAGGAAATAATTCCTATACTTTTTGTTCCCACGTATTGCAATAATTATTATAAATTCAAAAATAACCAATAACTTACATTCCCCTATTATCAACAGCTATAGCTGTCAATGGCGTTTTGTGGCATAATATTTTGGCTAGAGGGTCCTTTACAGATGGTGACCATAAAGACACCACACCTTTGGAATTTCCCAGACATAAGGTAGCATTGTATGGATTTTGTGTCATTACAGATGTTCTTCCTAGACGGTTGTTGTAATGTCCCACAATCTCACCCATAGAAATATCTAGCCATGTCATGAAGCCGAACTCATTCTGCAACATAAGATTTAAAATGTTAAAATATACATGACCTTTTTGAAAATAGGGCCTCCCATAATATTACTTCAACAACCTTGTTGAATTTTAGTAGGACTTAATGAAATATAAGAAGTTAGCTGTGTTGATGTTCTGTTCTGTAAAATGATAGCATAATATTACATGCACTACTATGAATACTCATATCTAAAACAAAAGTAATTTTTGAATAAGTAGCTATTTTAAACAAGCAAATAACGAAGAACAGTACTTACAACAGCAGCTAGCAAAAAGTGGTATGGTAGAAACTCCATCCTTAATATTTTATCCATTTTTTTGACACAGTGTATTTCAGTACCAGTGTTGTCATATATGTAGAGCCATTCTTTTTGAGCAGCTGCTAGCATAGTCTCCACATGCAACCAACTGAAATAAGAGTTTTTTTATAAACTTTTTTGATGGAATGTCATATAATTTAGTTCTGGGTTCTACCAACTCTGCTAGTTCCTTTTCTCTTAGAAATGTATATCTGTTTGGTCAAGCAATATACATGTATTGTTTTTTTAACTTATGGGGTGAAATAACAGTTTTTATTAATACTAAATTTTAAAGACAACAACTAACCTGATATCGTGAATTGATTCCATGACATTAATTTCAAAATGTAACTTCTTTGTGACCCAATCAAAAGCTGCTAAATGTCCTTTATTACTGCCCAACAGCAAATGTCTGCCATTCCTTGAATATTTAGCTCTATACGGTCCAAAATCTAAATTAAGTTCAAATATTTTAGAAGCAGCAGTGATGTCTACATTCTCTGCTATTATCTTCTGTGATATGGCTGTTGTTTTGCTGTCTTCATCTACTTCCAAGGCTCTGTAAACATCATTATTTAGTATTTAAATCCATATTTACTAAACATACTAGAAATACTGAGGGCCCCTCTTGACAGCGAATGCATTTGGCGTTGCGAATAATGAGGATTTTACTGCAGGCCAATCACATTGCCGATAGCCATATGCGGTCACCGTGATGGTAGAATAGATGTGAAATAAACTCACTTTTTGGCCTCAGATACATCTATTTTTTATGTATTTAAAGGTATAGCTGTGTTGTTATACCATTTGTTTGTCAAATTCACCTTATTTACTGCAGATCTAGATAGTATACTATTGTTATATATCTTCTAAGCTTAATGGCTTAGAAGTCATGAAACCACTGAACTATTAACCAATGTATCACATTTTTTTTTACCAACGGCGCACTTAAATAATTTTATGGTTTGTTAATTGATGTCAGTGAACTTGTTTAACTGACAAATTTAGTTTCTTAAAACTGCAATAATTAGGCTGTTACCGTTAAATTAATATTGTATTTATTTAAACTTACCCATGGTCCTCAGTCAATAAAATCTCAGCCCTAGCTGCTTGTTCTTGAGCATAATTGACTTTTTTCTCCTTCTTCCTTAATTTTGCAGCATGTAAGGGATGTTTCACACTTTTGCCAATACCCTCACCTCGAGAGTGAACTTCTAGTTTACTCTTATCAATAGGAGCTTTACCTTTATACTTGATCTTGTCATTATTATGTGTGGGCTTTTTGAACACATTGTTTTTATTACTCTGGAAAGATTAACTATCAATATATTAAAATGCGAGATGAACACAGTACTGATTTTTATAATAATTTAGACATGATTGATTTTTAATATGAGTATATAAATTTGTGTAGTTTCTTTTACTATACCTTAAACTTGTTGGCTTTTAATAAATTAGGTGTGATTTTTATGTTATAGACTTCTACTTTTTGATCCTCTGGTTTTGTATTAAGCGCTGAATCCTGGCTTTCTGTGTCGAAATACCGTTTAGTTTTCTGTAAATTAAAATTGGTTACTTTCTATAGATCAACTTGAGCAGATTTGGAAGTTACGTACGTATGTATGATATTACCTTTATTTGATTCTTCATTGTGGCATAGAATGATAGTGTTAAGTTACTATATATATCTATTTATTATAACTCAAGTATCAACACAAACAAATAACACGTGCGGAATAGTCGTCCTCGTCCTCACCATGTTCAAACAGTAGGTAAACAGTTTGACAATTTTGACTTTGACATTATCAGTATCAGTGTTACACTATGAATAATTCTGAAGTTGTCATAAAAAATGTAATTTTGGAAAATACTGCAAAAATATACAAGAAGGGTTACTGTAATGTTTTATAATTATTCATTTCGATTTTATAAAAAAAAATTGTATTAAAATAACAAAATCAGTGTCTAGTAACGACGGACTATGTCGATATAGTGGAAGGCAATTAAACTTTGCTGTATAAGTAGAATAAATGTAATTTCTTATTCTGAAAACAAAAGTAAAAATAACGCATTTTCTTTCTTTTAATGAAATAGGGGCAAACGAGCACACGGGTCACTTGATGGTAAGTGTCTATGGACTCGATCGTTTATCAATTTAAGAGAGACAAGTCTTCGAGTGCCCCCGTGTCAGAATTAAGAGCGAGAGCTTGTTCGTTATTCGGTAATCTCACTCACTCGGTGAAAAGCAACGAAAGAATTACTTAACTTTGGTCGAGCTACTGCTATGTGCATTTACTGGACTGCACGGATGGCGTAGTGGTTTAAGTGGTCGCGACACCGCTTTCTACTACGCCGAGCGTTGTGGGTTCAAACCCCACACTTTGTGTGATCTACAAATTGTTGTTCTGAGTCTGAGTGTTCCTTTTGTCCATTTCATGTATGTTTGTAAAGTCCCCCGGGACACAGGAATATATTCCTAATGCGGGCGTTGTCTTTTCAAAAAAAAAAAAAAAACGACCTAAAATATTAGAATTTTCGTATTTTGTTTTTTGGAAATTGCGAAATTGTATGCATTTAATGTAGTCTTTCGGATACAGTCAGACACGCGGCCTTCCATGCATTTTCTTCTTCACACACATCTTTAGAGCGTCTATCTTCTCCTTTTCCAACTCAAGGACTGTCCACGTCTCTGAGGCATATAGAAAGATGGGGAATATAAGAGTTTGTACGAGCCTGATTTTGGTGGCTTTGGTGAGGTTGCGATTCCCCCAAACTTTCCTTAACTTCTCTATCGCAGTTCTCGTTATGGCCATACGTCGTTTCACTTCATCTACGCAACAACCGTTATTTGATATTAAAGCCCCAAGGTATACGTAGGTCTGAATAACGTCGCAATTCGCAATCTGTGTCACTTCCGGCGAGTTATCGTTGACGCGGACCACGATCACTTTGGTCTTAGATCGGTTTATCTTCAACCCAAACATAAGGCTTAAGCGCTCCATTTTGACAAGTAATTCTTCCATTAGGCCAGCATTACTCTCAAACAAGGTGGTGTCGTCTGCGTACCGCAAGTTATTAATCTTAAACCCACCAACCGCAACTGTAATTTTGTATCGAAGTGGTGTTGGCGGTGTCCTTGGACATCGCCAACGCGTTCAACACTCTGCCCTGGAGCTACATCAGGGAGGCGCTCGTGTATCACGAAGTGCCTCTCTACCTCCGCCGCATAGTCGAGGCATATTTGTCGGAGAAAGCCTCGTGGTGCCTTCTTGGATGGTGTCGCCGTCGGTGTGCTACGCGGACGACACGCTCGTGACGGCACGCGGCATGACGCACCACGAGGCAACCCTGAGGGCTACGGCCGGGGTTGCCCAAGTCGTTGAGCGAATCCGGCGGCTGGGTCTCGAGGTGGCTCTGCACAAGTCCGAGGCCCTGTTCTTCCACGGGCTTCGGAGGAAGCCGCCTGAGGGATCTAGCCTCACGGTAGGAGGCACTCGCATCGGCATCGAGCCCTCGATCAGGTATCTGGGGCGCCGATGGGACTTCGGATATCATTTCCGAGGTCTGGTCCCCAAGTTGGTTGGGGCAGCGTGTGCGTTGGCGCGGCTGCTGCCCAACATGAAGGGACCCGATGACTCCTGCAGGAGACTCTACTCGGGGGTTGTGCGGTCTATGGCCCTTTACGGGTGCCCAGTATGGGCGGGGGCCCCTGAGTGCTGGCCATCAGGATCATAAGGGGGTACCGCACGATCTCCTTTGAGGCAGCGAGTCTCCTGGCCGGAACTCCACCGTGGGATCTGGAGGCGAGAGCCCTTGCGGCTCTGTATCAGTGGCGCAAGGAGGCGCGGGAGTTGGGTCGGTGTCCCGAGATTCGAGAAATCGATGACCGGAAATCCCAACTCCGCCAGGTCATCATAGAGGAGTGGAGGGAACGACTCGGGCAACCAAGCGCCGGGCACGCCGTCATCGCGGCGGTAAGACCCGTTATGGAGGATTGGCTCGAGAAGCGTCACGGGACCCTCTCATACCGACTGACGCAGGTGATCACTGGGAAAGGATGTTTCGGGGATCACCTGTGTCTGATCCGCAAGGAGCCAAGGCGAGACCTCGTGGCAGCCATCGGAGTGGGAGTTCTCTCGCTCGATAGCCTGATTGCGGCTATCGTGCGTAGCGAGAGTGCGTGGAACTCTGCCGTCTCCTTCTGCGAGCAAGTTATGCTCGCGAAGGAGACGGCGGAGCGGGACCGGGAGAGGTTTAGAATTCTCCCGGCCCGCCAGGCCCGGGAACGGGCCAGGTACCGCAGGCGACTCAGGCGCCGGAGGTTGCAGTTGCGCAGGCCTGGGGGTGACAGGTGAGGCCATCTGTCACCCTAGCAGAAGCGGAGGTGGCGGCGAGTGCGTTGCGAAGCGCACTCGCTTCCAGGGAGCAGAGGGAACATGGGGTTCCCACACGGGGGGGGGGGGGGTCTACTTGTTGTAGATGGCCCGAGGTATGTTGGGGCACCAGGGACTCCCTTTCTAGGGTATACCTGGTTCTTCGGCTATTAGCACCCGAGACGGCGTGCGGTTCAGTCGGTTCGAGTCCGACATGCCACCGATAGCTGGTATCCGCGGGGATTTCCGCACGGAAAAAAAAAGTGTAGTAGTGTAGTGTAGGTATACATCTATTTTAAATAGTTTAATCCTGTCCTACAATTGAGAGTTAAAATAAGTATCTATTGTACGTCTTGAATACAAGAGTGGCGACAGGAACAGGGTCACAACAATTATGCATTGTTGTTACCCAATGCAAACAAAGCGGAAGTTTGTCGCGTTCTACTTTCATAATGTATCTAGATATGTTCACTGATTTCTTGGCAATGTCTTACCAGATTGGAATATGTGTTTATTTAACCACATCATTTGAAGAAGAGTGACGTTTGGACTGATAAGGAAAGGACTGATACGAAAAATTAAAAAGATTGAAATAATCTTGGTATTTATTATTTTTATTCTCTTTAACAACACATACTCAATATTTTACAGAAACGTATATGACAATCAGAGTAGTAACATAGTAATAGGTTTTAGGCTTTAAATGCGAATATTATTAATTCCAGCATACCAATGTGATGTTCCGTAAAAGTAAAATATTTCGTCGTAATACATTTCAATCACTTCCATTAACTAAAACGATTTGACTTTAAATAATTGCACAATTTTTTTTTAAGCGTTTCAACTAAAATGATTGCAAATTAACATCAACTTGAATTAACTAATCTATCACATATTTCGTAATGTCAACAATAAATAACACGTAACATAATCACAGCAATGTGAACATTGGCTAACAAAGAAAGTAGGTATTCATTTATCCCTAAAATCGATTATCAATTAGTGACTGAATTATTAACTTACACGATCTAATGAGATCTCGTTATTTACTAATACAAATAAAAACGTCCCTACATGACGTTACAACTATCGTTATTCACAATTTATTTACAAACTGACTAGAAAGTCCTCTAAAGAGTTCATTTATTTTTTTTGTTTACATCATTTAATATTTCTATCTCATTATTTTAGTCTTAATAGGTCAGCGTTCGGGAGCTGCTGTGTATCTGAAGCATTTGGCACATTCCCAGCGTTATCAATTTTATGATAGTATAACAGTTTCCTTATTTACTATTCTATTTTCTTCTGTTTGATAAAATCTGAGTTTGCATTTAAAATTATAAAATTCTATAACAGCCATCATCGTGACCGGTGATTTAAATGATAATTTTATTATTTATATAGAAATGTAGGTACAATATTTACACAATCGATTTTCATGCGTTTGTGTGGCTAAAATCGCTTACATACAATAGTAAAAATTTCTCACCTAACAATTACATTAAATTAAGCATACGAGTAACAGTGTTTAAAATTTATTTTATTTCTAAATAGTCCATCTTACACATTAAGAGTCGAATGAATCTTCGAGTGTTAACATGATGCCATAAAGAAATCACACATCGTATACAACGGTTTACAAAACAGACATCGTTACCTAATAGAACACAAATACCATTCCAAACATGCACAGGATCCGCTACACTTCGAATATCACGTCACTATTTGTCACTCCACAGAACTAGTACAGTCTTTCTTTTATTTGTTTCTTTGGTTAGTTGCATTTCATCTCTATCCAGACACAACGATCACTATGAATTAAACTAGAGTCATGCAGTCTTTATCATTATAAGCTCCGCCGATTGTACTGTGTCCGTCACTATAGTTCACTGTCGCTCAGAATCGGCGGCGCTCTGTGAACCTTAAATGGGGGTAGGGAGCACTGTGAAGTCCTGAAGCGCGTTTTTCACTGTTTCGTAGATTGGCCGGTTTTCGTCGGGGCAGTATCCGTCGGGTGAGCACAATGTTTGAAGTTTGGTAAGGTATGAATCAAAGTTGTCGTGGGTGGGTTTCTCTCCTGGCCCGGGAGGTGGAGGGGCACCAGGTGTCCCGCCGGCAGTAGTGCCTGGTGCTGTTCCTCCACCCGGGATTCTCACATGTTCTAACAGCGTGATCACATTATTACGCAAACTTTCATAGTACTCGTTAAGATTGTTATTACGTTGTATCATCGTCTGTGTCTCCTGTAAAAACATTTCAATATATTAAATACGGAATTTTGTACTTAAGTTTTTTTTTTTGGACTTGAGTGGCTACTAATAACAACAGTGGTACCAAGTAAGTAAAAGATTTGGTACTCACAAATGACTGATGTGTTAGTAGCACTCACAGTTGGATGTTTCAAGCCATGACAGTACCATCTAAGTTGTCGGACAAAAATATCGGGTTATTTAAAACTTTGCCACTTTGTTGAAATGAGGAAGATTTTGTTCTTTGACTATTGTTTGATTAAATTAAGACATATGGCAAGGTTTAATCGGTTAACAAAATGAGCGAATTTTAATATTGTTTAATATTTTTACCATACTTTCACAAGAAGGATAAGGAGACTGCAAAACGCCCAAGTAAACAAAGCGTTAATTTGGAGCAAGTAGGTCTTCTCTTGTGAAATTTATCTCCTCGTGGCAATAGTGAAATTATTTAGATTAAAATTCTTACCCTTTCTCCGTGCGATAGATGCGTTTCCATTGCGTTTATATCAGATTTGAGGCGTATCATCTGTGACTCCACACGTGCATTCTCGCGCTGCAGCTCCGTAATTTCTTGTTCCAGTGTCATAAGATCCTCACCATTCCCCGTCTGCATGTTCATCTCCATACCTGAAATACCATTCTGTTTTATTATATTTCCCTGTTAAAGTTTTTCATGTAAACTTTTGTTATTTATCACTTGACTCTTTGATATCGTATCTAAGCAAAAATACAACCTTCTGATGATATGACTTGACGAATATACGTATACCAAAACATTATTTAAATGAAAATGTACAGTGGGTTGTATAAACGCATGCACATTACAAAACAGAACCGATAATATAATCAAAGATATCTGTTGTCATCTTCTTCTTTCCAATTTTATTTACTTATAGTAGTTACATAGTCCATTTTTGTGTCGAGTTGGCAAAACATATAAATACGACTATTTGTTGTACCAAAAAGTGTTTTTAAAATAGAACAGATTATATGCACCATTGCTGTTTATCAATTAAAGTTTTGAGATGCAAACACTTTTTACTAAGCTTTGACGAAAAGGATATAAATGTATATTTTTAAAATGACACAATGAGTAACGCCATCTATCCATCGCCATCCTTTTTTTTTATTAAATATGATTCAAGTGTCCACGGGATATGGACTATAACCAAGGATTGTACAAGAGTATAAAAAGGTCCAATTATTTTCATTTTGCCAAGGTTCCGTAGATTGATAGCATTCCGAAAATGCACTAAAATAAGAGTTCAATGTTTTTAACATACTAAAATCAATAATTAAATTTTAGCTCAATAACATTTAAAACATAATATATTCTTTGTGAAATAATTTTGACTACAGAAATAAAAAATATTGTTGTTATTACAATGTTTTTTATCAATTTTTGAGCTTGCTTGATTGATACTTCTACCCATGTATCTATTTCTATTCCTATATCCGACCACACGGCTAGCAGTGTGTATAGGATTGCTTATTTTATTCTCTGCACTATTAATGGTATGGTTTTATTAAAAATTGATACTAACCTGTATAACCGGGCTTTGGATACAGTGGTGTGATATCATCGGGGTATTTCGGCTTTTTGGGCTGTGGTGTAGGTGTCGCAGCGCCTGCTATTGGACAGCCGGATAGGGAACGATGGGTCAAAAAAGACCCATTTAAGTGTCCGGAGCCGTCACAGCCAGGTGTAGGACAATTTACTCCGTCAAACTTAATGGCTGATGCCGCTGCTGCGACTGCTGCCTTATGTTGCTCCACAGTTCCACCGCTCTCTAAAACACGCATTTTGTTGCGATTCGCTATCGGGCATCCCGATGCACTGTTGAACAGAAAACAAACACACAATCAGTACGTATTCTATGTTAACACCTTTGGCTGTAATACTGTCTACAATTATCTACACAGCAAACATCTACTTCCACAGAGAATCAATCTTACCTTCGATGTGACAAGAATTTCCCTGTAGCGTGTCCAGATCCATCACAGCCCGGTATAGGGCATCTAAGCAGCGTGGAAATAACCATGAAACTTATTGTATTACAGAAAAAGTTGACTTTGTCTAAATAGTTTGTGTAAAAGGTATCACAGTTTCGAGACATTGAGCACGATTATTATCACTTAGAAATCGATTGATAAACTATGATTGTTAGTTACAAATATTATACGATATTATATATAACCTGCTTATTTCTTTTGTTATAATTTTTCTAACCATCTTTTAATTTTATTGGAATATTTCTAAAGTAAAAACATTAAATTATTATCATCATCATCATCATCAGCCTATCGCAGTCCACTGCTGGACATAGGCCTCTCCCATTGCACGCCACTTAGATTTTGGGCTTCTCGCATCCAGCTCCTGCCAGCCAGATAATATTAAATTAATAGGGCGATTATTCTGGTTCTTAGAAAGCAGCAGCATTGTGAGTTAAATAATAACTTTTTTTTTCTTATTCCTTGCATAAATTACTGACATTTAATCTCACCTTAAAGGTTCAGAGTCCTGGCCATCTCTGGGCTTGCTCTTTGGTTTATTGGCTCTCGGACAGCCAGACAGCGACCGGTGTGAGGAGTAGTTGCCGGTGACGTGTCCGGAGCCGTCGCAACCTGGTGTCGGACACTTGAGTTCCTGGGAGTGAGGCTGTAGTTGTGAGCGGTCGGCGCGCGGACATCCAGACAGGCTGCACATAAATAGACTGCTTACAATGGAGTGTGGGTGTACCATATCGTAGCTCGTATTAATTTGCACGGGCCATTTTGTGTATTAGTAAAATAAAATTATTTTATAAAACAGCTCAGTTGTACATGTACTGTGATGTTTTTAACAAAGCATATCCTGAAGCTGTAGTTGCCGAGTTGCTGATGAAATGATACTTAAATACTCTTAGGTGAGCAGAGAAAACATTTAGAATCTTTTGATTGTACCCGAACAGGAACTCTTACAGGCTTGGTGCAGGCTTTTATAGCTCTTTCTCTGTTGTGGTTGGGTGGATACGTGACTTTTTCCATAAGAGAATAGAAGGAGGCATTGGTAGTTCGGTCAAGCGGTATATGCGAGGGTAGTCGCCGCATTACGTGTGGCGTCTTAAACAATTATGTCTCCACCACCGTGTGATGGTAATCAAAATTCTCCACGACAAAAAAAGTTGTTCAAACTAATGTAAACATAAAATAAAACTTGAAATGTATGATATCTTATAATTGTTACCTCTATGAATTTTAATTTGTACACACATACATAATCATTGAAAATCATTATTGTAATTACCATATTCTATGACGTAAACGTCATGTTTGTCATACATTTACACTAAGTGTACTTGGCACATTTCCCCACCGACATGATTAACACTAATAAGAGATACACATACATTGACCACCTTATCACGCAACTTCTGTTTGAAAAAATCTTATTGCTGTTTATAAATATTTAAATATAAATACACAAACTCCACGACTCGGTCATGGTCAAACAAACCTAGTACTAATTTATGCCAATGAAGCTGCAGATGAGAAACTCATACAAGTGCAAAGAAAAATAGGTCAAAACTATTTAATACCCATATCTGAGTCAATATACAATATTACAGTCTGTACTAATTACTGAAACTTTTCTTTGAAAATAACTATTTAATTTGATAATGTAGACAATAATATACTACTACAGAAGTGAGAAATATTTAAACTCGAATTTAAATCATATCACATGTACATAATAAAAAAAATTACACATAAAACTATGGGTTTGAAAAAAAACAAGACTGGTTAGGCAATGTTATTAACGAAATACATTTTTACATATTTAAATTAAATTGTTAAGTATGAACACTATGTATTACTGAAATAGATGTGATGTAAAGATATCTTTGGTGATAATTATCTATAGTTCATTAGGAAACAGTCGAGATAGTTATAGAAAACGTTCGACAATAGGACGGATGATATGGTTAGTTATTTACATTATGACACTTACTATTAGGTATATTTAAAATGAAAAGTTAAAGAAGAAGAACAAGTGAAGACCAAGATAAAGCTTTAAAAAACAAGTGGAGGACAAAGAGGTAATTGCATCTTCAGGGCCTTTAAGTATATTTTTTATTTTTATTTTAATAAATTCGGTAAACGGACTGACGTCTACTTTCATACGATATGGTTACCGGTCAACTTGCACGTAAACCATCTATCTCATACATCCCTAATTTTTGGTGAGATTACAGAAAGTAAGTGATAGCTCTATAATAAATAATATAAAGTTTAGTGATATTTTACAACAAGAAAGGTTTGATAACATGCATCTTCGATAGAAAAAAAAGGAAATCAAACAGTTTTTGAGCATAGTGTGTAAAATAATAAATCTTATGCAAAAGTTTTGGGAGTCGTTTTGAAATCGTTTGGCTAGTTAGTTCTTGGTGAGGTTCTGATAGCTAGCGAAAAAACCAAGTAGGTATTGAAAGAAGTACTCTGTCGTCAGCGCAATTTAACAATCCTAGTATTGATCCTATTGCAGTTAAAAATAATTTCAATGGTATTTTTTGATTAGATTGATCATGGTTCTGTTTGTGTAAAAAAGAAGTATCGTACTTGAGGGTAGCTTGATAACTAAATCATATTTGTTTTTTTTCTGTTTTCTTTAGTTTGTAAGAGTTTATTAATCTGTCACGTCCATCAAATCTGATAAGAGAAACTTAACAGTTATGCTGTCAAAAAGTAAAGCATACGTAACGTAGCGGAGCATTTTTATCTTTCAAGCTATAAGTGAGTTAATTAGTGTATATGTATGTGTATACAGGTACAGCGATGATGTTTACAACTGTAATACAGTTATATACACATAGATATAATTGTATAAATAATCATAATAATTCAGACATCAATCACACAACGCTATCTAGTTTCAAACTAAGCAGAGTTTATACTATGAAAGTTAGATTGACTGATAGATTACTTATGTATTTTTTTTGTAAATGCATACATATTACTCATAGGAAACACCCAAACTCCGAAACAAATATTTGCAGAAACATTTGGTCCGACCCGGGAATCGGTCCCAAAACCTCAGCACAGCAGTCGCATAAACTACCACTGCGCCACCGAGGCAGTCAAAATTATATATTATAATTATGTGAAAGCTTATATAATAAGATTATAACTACAACTAGAACGATAAATAAAAGTATTTTTAATTTTAATGATCGACTTTATTTACCATTGCTTGGACGTGATATTTGCATAGAAGTTTGTAGTAATTTAGTTTTAAATAATAAATAAAATAAAAATATTTTCAAAACAAGAGATAAAGATTTATGTATGAAGGTATTAATGTGCTATTTAATTAGATAGTACTTTATTATTTACATTATTTTATATGATACTTTTGCTCATGCTTAAATATAAAGTATATTACGAGTATATTAATTTACCTATTTGAATGACTACTGATAACTCACTAATTTATCTTTGATTTGGTTATAACGATTAAGTAATAAAAGAATATTAATTCATAGAGTTTTATTTAAATCAAGTTACCAAATATCTATTTATTATTATGTGACTAGATTTTGCCTATTAGTAGTTAATACTCGTATCTTATCTAAATCCGAGTTTGACAGTTTTAATATCCCTTTATACCTTTCAGTAACCATAAAATTATATCCGTTAGGATATAACTATATCACGACTATAATGATATCGTACTGCAACATGAATATATAGTTACTTCACACTATAACTAGTTGAAATCGAAATTGCGTCCGATAACAGGCGATTAGCTTATTTATTTTTCCCGTTAGAAACGTATACCTATTATTGATATAATATGGTAAAATAATATACAATAACTATTCATAGTTTTGTAGTTATTCATTTGCTTATTATTTCATTATTTAGAAGTATCTAGTACATTAAAATAATGAAAATCTCTCAACGCTTTAATTTATGTTAAATTTAAATCTGCATTAAAACATAAAACTGTTTTTTTTTCTAACTTGGGCTTCTGCAGCGTTAAAGGTACGTAGTTTCTGCTATAATTCTTTTTAAAATTATTTTTATCGATTCCTCTGGCTTTAGCAGTTAATCAGCATACTGACCACTGTCTAGTGGTCAGTATGTCAACGTCAAGAGGCCCGCCCGAAGTTTGAAATTTGTTTGAGTAACTTTGCTCTCTATAATTTGTTCTATCATGATCATCACCAACAGCCAGCCAGTGGCGGCCTTAGCCATTGCGAGGCCTTGGACAGGGCTGTCTTTATGGATTTAGTTTTAATGATGATCCTTGAAACAAATAATGCAACGCAAGACATACTGCTGCTCGAACATAAAAGCATAAGCCGACGAAAGTCGACACTATAAGCCTTTTAAAATGACAGACGAAATGAAACACGGGCAATCCCTGTTGTTACGCATGCATTCCTGCACGAGCGAGGCCCCGGGCAGTTGCCCTGCTTGTCACCCCTAAAGGCCACCCTTGTCAACAGCCTCTATTATTCCACTGTTCCAACCTCTATTATTCCACTGCTGGACATAGACCTCTCCTTAGAAAAGAGGTTTTGGCCTACTACATATACCATTACTTTCTATATATACTACTATATTTACTCTATAAATAAAATTTTAGTACATGAAAAACTGATACAATAAACTGACAGCCCCGGATCTACGACTCTTTCGAACCGGGGCAGAAACTTGATGATCCTCTCCAGCGTTTAAGGTAAATAAGTTAAAAAAACTCACAAATATATATTATGATGGTTGGCATTTTTCATGATTGGGTAACAATATATTGTTTTTTATTTTAAACCGTATTATATTATGATTTTGGCGCCCCCTGACACTGCCGCGCGGGGCTTGTGACCCGGTTTGCCCCTCCCTAGATCCGGGGCTGTAAACTGATACTGATATATTTATAATCATAAAGTTAAATTTTATGGAATTTTATATTTATTAACATATTTCATAATTATATATCCAACTATCTTTGAAATGTTTGAAATGTTCCGTTATGTCTAGAATAGTTTGTCAACGTCAGTCTTTCGTTTAAATCTATAAAATTTACCGATCTCTGCTACAGTTAAAATGATATTACCTACTGGTTAAATAACTTGGGTAGAAAACAGAATGTTATTTACAACAAACGGCGTTAGTTTTGTATTCATAAATACTTTATTTACATACAGCGGCCACATTGTTGTCTCATTGTTTCTTTAGTGAACTATTGAAAACAGTGAAGTAACGAATTCACGAAGCAGTACATCTTAGAAACGGCATAAATAAAAATGCAGGCGTCCTACGTGTTACCAGAGTGTATTCACTACACATATGGTGTTACACAGCATAACATAAAAGTTTGCTTTGCAAAAATGTACCTTATAAATTCTGTCGAAAGATTTAAACTTAATATAAACAGAGATCAACTTGTGCGTCTACTACCTATTTAAATTTTATCAGGTGGGCGATAATAGACTTTGATTTTATACGTATATTCAAGATTCAATTAGAATAAAAATTTGAGATAGTAATTCTGCTCTTTCTTTATTTAGTATTATTAGGTACAAAGATTTGCACACACAGACAAATAACACGCATCTTGTTAGGCCACAAGAGTAAAACAATGTTATATTACTGTCAATGACGGCGAATATTATTAAAAGCATGCGGTTAGTTTGCATCAGAGTCCCGTGGGAAGGCGCCAATTGGCGCGGAAACGCGCAAATTGTCAATCAGAGGCAAATTATGGACGCTCTTTATAGCTGCACAAACGTAAAACACCGAACACTTAGATGTTTTATCAAAAATAAAATTTATTTACAACGTAAAATCTATATTTATAACATGTTAAAGTTACATTTTTTAGTTTCCTTACGTCATTAAAGATTAATGTTCCAAAAAGTGCGAGTTAATTAAAAGCATGAAATAAAAGTTATTAACTGTCTGTGTTTTAATTATACTTTACAGTCGTAGTACGAGTTTTCACTACAGTCCACAAAACGACTATAGTTTGTAATTTCATACAAGAAAAACATAGTTTGAAGTAATATTTCCGTTTTTAAACGTTTCGTTTTTTTTTTTTAAGCGATTTCTCGCATCGTTAATTTGCTAACTCGTACTATATAGGTACACTTGTTATATACAAAAGTATATTTAAAAGTCGCCGTTATATAAATTTAACGAATCATAATTTAAACCATATTGTTCGATGTTTATGATTTGCACAGCCGGGCAATGCACCGCGAGACCGCGCATTCGATGCGATACGTCGATGTTATGATTCCCGCTTGCCTGCGGTGCGTCGCGAAGTTGCCAGATATGTGGCCGGAGCCGTCGCAGCTCTCCACTGGACACTGGATTAGCTCCCTCGACTCCCGTATCCGGTAACTCAGTTTTCCATAAAAGTCGTCGCGGTGATAGCTAGCATGAATAAATACATACGTAATGGTTTAACTTCGAAACAAAAAAAAAAAAAAAAAATTGTCATCATCATAAACGGAACGTTTTTGTAATTGTTGAAATGTCATTAACCTAGTCAAGGCAGAGCAACCAAGTTCAATTTGTAAACTAAAAACTTTACCGCCACTACAAACGTTATCTACTTGGAACGAAGTTTTTGAATGTTTACAAAGTTGATATTATTAGCTACTCGTTGATGTGTTTACGACTAAAATAACGAAAAAAATATTCAAAACTTTTTAGAACACGAATAAAGTAAAAGGAATTATTTTCTTACCTATTTCGCCGCATATCTGAGTCTTCGTAATATTTACGTCAGGAATGTGGCACGAATATAATTTAAATTATGTATGTATCTTATCGTGTGTGTAGTTAGTTATGTAGCGTGTGCGCGGGCAGCTCGGCACAGCGCGCCTGCGCGCATGTTGCCGGTATATTTAGACTGATTCACTGAGTGTGACTTGTATTTCGTTCGAAAACTTGCTCTATTCTAACCTAAAATAACTTAACGTTGTCGCCATTGTTTGTTATGAAAAAAACACATCACTGCGTGTGGTATCAGAGCGAGCGAGTTTGTGGAGCACATTGTTTAGAATGTATGAGGATTAAGCAGCGGTTGCGTCTCATACCTGCATTAATGCCGCTTTTTGCGTTATAGTATTAGCAAATAGTCGCTGATGTATCTATAGAAAAATAAGGTGATTACAACTATTTGTCACAATGACGATTTTAAATATTCACCTGATTAAAATTCAATTATATACATATTTGAAAAACAATTTTGTTTTGATACGTATGTACCTACATATTAAAATTTATACCAAGTCCCTAAGTAAAATAAAATAATTTTTGAATAGGTAATAATTTTTGAAACATTATATTAAAATTGATTCATATATTTTACTTGAAAAGTTTTATAAGTATTTAGGTACACAAAAAAGGCATAACCGAACGAATATTATGAAAATCGCACCTATAGAAAACAGTCGCGTGTTGATTGTTTTCACTTACGTAGTTACGTCAGACATTTATGTCGATCAACAATGAAAACACGTTATGAGAATTCAATACGACACAGTACACACTTGCGAAACATCTGCATAAGCGCAAGTTATAACTTAATAAATTCTGTTTATTAAGTATTCTATTTAAGACTGGTTTTTTTGCAAAGTCCAAAAATTAAGATCAGTATTTTTCGATAAGTTCAAATTACGTACGGGTTGACTGCGTGAGCGTGGTTCCTCGGCTTGTAGCAGTGATCAACTAATCTTGGATCGTCAGACTCATAATGTTGATAATTAAGTGTAGTAGTATCAAGATAATTACGTCCTTTTCGTATACTATCGGTACTATCTTTAACGTATTATGTAAATAGTATCATAAAATCTGTACGATAACGATACAACCATACAACTTGGTTGTCAAGTAATATAAACTTTTTTTTTATCTGTGCGGTAATCCCCTCGGATACCACTCGCCGGTGGCTATGTCGGACTCAAACCGACTAAAAACCGCACGCCGTCTCGGGTACCAGTAGCCAGGGAACCAGGTGTACCTTAAAAAAGAAATCCCTGGTGCCCCGACGTACCTCAGCCCATCTACGGCGGGTAGATGACCCCCCTCCTGTGATGTTCCCTTTGTGCTCCCGAAAGGGTGCGCGCGCTCTGCAGCGCATCTCGCAGCCACCCTGGCCTGCTTCTGCTAGGGTGACAGATGGCCTCACCTGTCACCTCCAGGCCTGCGCTTATGGAGAACGGATTTCGTTCTGCGACCTCCTGCACCTGAGTCGTCTGGTACCTGGTCTCGTACCTGGCCCGTGCGCGAGCCTGGCGGGTCGGACACACCAGTACCAATATTAATATTACTTGACAACTTGGGTCCTTACAAGTTATGGAATAATAGAGAAAGTGCACACGTATAATTTTTTGGCCACCTTGATCCAAGTTATGGGAAATAATTTGAAATGCAATACATTTGCAAAAATTATAATTTATTGAGACGGTACAAATAAGAAATGAAATCAATTGTTCTTGAAGCAAAAACTCTTAGTGTAAGTATTTGTAAAAAATTAAGATAGAAGGCAAATCTTATCAAAAGGTGAAATTAAAAGCGGTACTGATAATTAACAAAACGAAAACTTCGAAGTCTTTAAAGTCTTTAATAAAGTGTTCTTGACGGCTATTCACTGTCCATAAACAATAGAGAAGAATTCATAATTTCTTGAAAATTGAAAACGAAGTAGTTGGGGACTGTGTCATAGATATTAGAAAGGTCATATATTTTTATTATTTATTCAAATATTAACTTTGTGACAAACGATATAGCACATTACAACTCTATTGCCTTCATTGCCCGCAAAGTTTCTTCAGGCGCTTGTTTTCATCAATGTACCTAAAAAGCTTATTGAGGCAAGCAGTACCTCTCTTAGAAACGCATTTATAAATCAGTAAGAAATATAAAATGTGACTTGCAAGATACTACATTTTCTTTTAATAATAGTAATATGGGTTGAGACAAATAGCATTTAAATTTATTTAACTATCAGTATTTAATCTGTTACTACTAAGAAATACAACGTAGGTTTCCAATGAAATATACTCGTATATTAGATAAATTAATACTTTATATGCATCCCTATAAGGTATGGATAGTTTGGCAGTCAGAGTCGTTATAGTTTCTGAAGATTTGTCAGTTTTGAAGTTAGTTAGATAAGACTGTTGTACACTTATTTTGCTACGAGATGGTATATACATTTGCTTAAAAAACATCGCAGTACAGTTAAGTAAAAGATATCGAGCGACGAGATGCTCTTATCGCTCAAACGTTTACTCTTCACTTAACAAAATTTGCGACTAGCTGACCCGGCAAACGTTGTTTTGCTATACATTATTTTTTAGGAAAATTTTAAAATTTTAATAATAATTTTAAAATAATAAAAAAATGTTAAATTTTTCATGCTTCTTTTGCTAAAGGGCCTGTTCCCTATATTTTACCTTTAATACCCCAACATGTACCACCCCATTTATAGCAAATATATAATTTGAATTTGAATTTTAATTTGAAAAAAAAAAATAGGGCTGGGTCACCCTTGTCATTTAGAGGTATGAAAAAATAGATTGTTGGCCGATTCTCAGACCTACCCGATGTGCACACAAAATTTAATAAAAAACGGTCCCGCCGTTTCAGAGGGGGATCTACTCGTGACACGAGAATTTTTATATATAAGATTATCAGAATGCCACGATAATTATAACCTTTCGCCAACGAGTATAGTAAAAAGTCACAAAAATCTAAAGGGGTTTGGAAGTTTTACAACACATGGTACTGGATATTTTTACTTATCGACCAACACTGCCAGTGGAAAATGGGGTTTTTTTTTTCTTTTTTAAACATTGGTAAAATACTACATTGTCGCATTATTATTCACTCCTCTGTAGAGTCAGAGTAAATGATTTGGACAGTGTTGTTCGATAAGGAGCGAATTTGGATATTACGGCTTTCTACTACATCAATGAATATTTTTTTTTCATGAGTAACTTTATTTATATTCACCTGCTATCCTTAGGCTTATCGTGCGGCGCGTGTGGTGGTGGCATGTAACAGGGTGGTGAGTAAGGGGGAGCGTGTGGGGGGTATGCAGGTGGCGGGGGGTACGCTCCGCACTGGTACTGGTAGCCACCGTAGCCGGCCGCTGCTGCCGCTGCCGCATAGTCCGGCTGGCCGAGACCGTAACCTGCTACAGGATGGGGACTAACGCCGCCATATGCTGTGCAAAAATACATAATTATATAGCATTCATTTTTTTTAAGAAAAGATATCTACAGATAAAAAGGTATGTATAAAAATTGACTTTTAAGTATACAGGTCTATAATAAAATAGGTACATGTATCTGAATTAAGAATTACGACTAGTCACCTTACAGTAGTATAAAAGAGTGGTAATAGAGTATCGTATGAGTATCTCATCGTCGGCTAGTGCACCTATTTATCTAACTTTCCAAGAAAATGAGAACCACAATGGTTTTCTTTTAACATATTCAGTTATAACCTGACTATTGCCAAAAACATATTTAGTTTTATCAAATGGTACATGTACTGCTTACATGTTATTCGTATTAGATGATAACACATTAGTGTAGCTCTTTATGGTTTTATACATGTTACATGCGGTTTCAGGCGGCAAGATTGGCCTACTTCTTAGAATTTGTCAAATACCTACCACAAAAACTTTCTTCGTTGGTCAGGTCGCTAAGAGCATGAAACCTTTATCGTGCAAAAGATTTTAATGAAACCTTAAAGTTAACTTTGTTGTATTGTAGACTATTTATAGTCCGATGCGTATGTATTCAATGTGTGAAAATTTAAAGAAAATGGTAACAGATTAACATCAGATTGTCACAGTGGTATATATAAACAAAAAGTACTAAATAAAAAAATTAAAGAACCAAATTACAATTGATTTTTTGTGCAAAATCTATACCAATATTATAAAAGTGAAGAGTCTGTTTGTTTGGTTGGACCCGTTCCAGTCGAATTTCAAGAACTACTTGTTCGAATTTAAAAATTCTTGTAGCCAATTTATCGAGGAATGCTATAGGCTGTATAACATCGTGCAACAATCACTAAGAGAATCATCAATTAAAAATGTTGCAAAAACGGGGAAAATTTATTCTTTATTAGAAGTTAGGTATTGTTACATAAAAGCAGAACATTGAAAGGTAAATATTAACCAAGATATAGATAATGTACTGCTTATCGCTCACAACTATATAACGGGCGAACCTTAGGCTGGCTATCGACAATATGCTCTTATTAGAGTAATATTCATGACTATATTTCACACGAGTTTGTTACACGGTTTAATTAGGCTACAACTTGTTATCTAAGGCATCAAAAATACATAACCAGTATATATTTATATGTTTCACTACACATACACACACAGTACATCTCAATATATACTGGTTATGTTTTTATTTACATGTTTTTGTTATACTTGAAAAATAAACGTGTTACCAAAGTATTGGTTCAATAGTATGAGAGCAAATTACTTGTTTTCAAAACTTTTCCGTTACACAAAGTACAAGCACATTATGAAATTATCCCGTCCTGTTTTCCGACCACGATACACAATACACGCTGAGCACCGTGAGAATTCAGTAGCTATTATAAATTTTAATTAAAGCTTCGTACACAGTGATCCACAAAAACCGCGATGTGGCATGTAACCGCACCGGGCGGGAATAGGGCGAACGGGGCGGTTCAAGCGTCGCTACCGACGCGCGGGAGTCATTACCGCGGTCGCCTTTTAATTTGTACGACGTGTTTTATCGCACCGCGGTGTATGCACCCTTACGTGTACTCTGAATATAGAACATTACACCTCCATATAAAGGATTACATTAAAGCATACGAGATAATTAAGTCAAGTCTCAAACTCACCGGGCCGTATCTGCGATGGTAGGCTTCTAGATAGGGATGGCTGCCGCCGCTGTCTGGGGTTGATTCTCGACTGTACGAAACTCCTCCAGGAAAACTGCGACGACCAAAAATAAAATCTGTTGTAGTTCCATCGAAATATAAACACAATGTTAAAATAACCTATTGTACAGTGCCTCACCTATGTGGTAAACGAATACGCTAAGGTCCGAGTGTTGACCCTGTGGACTGGGCACTTGAGGGCTGGCTGTGAGCTGGGGCGAAGCTCCCGGCTGCGGGCTGCCACGGGCTCCGCCCCCGCCGCCACCACCGGCGCTTGTGTACACCGGCGATGCGTATGGACCCTGTTATCAAAATTTATTTTAATGTTTTATATTAAAAGGGCCTATGTATATTTTGTCACCCTAATCCCGTTTCGTGTTCTCACCTGTGGACTACCACTAGACGTGGAAAGATCTATGGCTGGGCGTGGGTCGCGCGGGTCCCTTGGGGTCGGGGCTGCGCGGTCGCTGCGCCTGTGCAGCGGCGATCTTCACTGACAAGTTGATCGCCGAGAAGCCAGGGGGGACGCTGGGGCCCATCGCGCTGACGCCGCCTACTCCGCTACCAGCCTCGTAGTGGTACATTGGTCTGAGAGGACAACGCGGATCCATCATACTTTCGGTACATAAAAGAACTAAATCGGACGTAACCAGCCAACCAAGGATCTAAGCATCCCGTTTACCACATATTCGTGTGTTAGACGGCACAGAAATACTTATAAAACCTACCTAGGGTATATGGGGCCGGAGCTTGTCTCCTGTTCGGACTGGTCTGTTTTCATGGGGGTGGGTAGGTGGGGATCATGGTAGCGCTCCTCCTCCCAGCCGTAGGGCCTCTGCGGGCACTGCGGGTCGTAGCGCTCGAAGGCTGGCGCGCCTTCGTAACATCTCGCCTCGTAGCCGTACCGCGTTTCGTTCATTTGGCTACGAACCAAGGTTTTTACTTAAAACCTGTTACTGCTTTTTTGTCCTTAATTTTATTTGTATTTGAAAACTGCATTGAAATGAAATAGCGTTTCTAAAGGAGCAACACTTGTTAAGTAACATTCTAAAAAAGTTAATAAATATTTCAACATGCGAAATACTTATACCACACACAGAATGAACATTTCATATAGTGTAATTTAATATTATATTTACATAGTTCTTTTATATTTTTAGTTCTCGACAAAACCACTAGGCACTTTATTTTAATACTAATAAAATATTTATTTTTATAACTGAAGTTGTACACAAGAATGCTACTTTAAATTTTAAGTTGGACTGATACTCTAAATTAACATTAAACTTGTTTCACTTGAATACGTATCTTCGTTAAAATATGTAGCAAGAGACTCATTTATTTTAATTAAAACTATCTGAAACCACATTTAATTATTCATGCCATTGCGTATTTAGGTTTGCATAACTTAATATGGTGCCATAATAAACATGGTGCCAAAAGTTAATTGTAATTATTGCTTATACCGAAGATAGGACAAGAACTGGATAATATGGGTCTTTGGTAAATCATAAAATAAATTTGGAAATATCATTCAATTCTTTTAAAGAAGAAAGAAAAGAAAACATATTTTTATTTCTGAAATACACGACGGCTTTCACCAACGAATTTTCCTAGCTATCAAAACAATTTTAACTATTATTAGCATTTATCATTAATTAAATACACTAATTACTATGTGAAGAATCTATACATAGTACAGTAGTTAAACTAAAACAGTTTTTAAACCACGAAACAGTGATTTTAGTCAAGAGCGTCTTTCTCAGTTTATGTTTAGCTCTTCTAACGTCAACAATAGGTGCTGTTGCTGTTGTGCCAAGCCATTTTATGATTGAAATGGTAAGTACGAGTAGTGACATAAGTGGCTCACCTGTATGACCGAACGTGATCGTCAGGCGGTCTTTCGTAAGGGGATCGTTGGTCCGGTGGCGCGCCGTAGCCGGCGTGGCGCGTCTCCATGGTGGGGGAGTCGCGCTCGGGCTCGGCGGCCTCTCGCTTTGGCACCAGCAGTTCGGTCGACTCGCGCTTCACGCCTGGACTGCGAGGCGATGCCTCGCGCACTGACACGCTGGTCGTGGAACTCGCTGCACTTTCTGATGCCGCGATTGAGGGAGTTGTGAGGGAGCCGTGGGGCACTGCATTGGGCATTTTACACATAAGTCTAAGTAAAGGCATGTTAACTTTTTTCAAGTTACAATTCAAAGCATATTTTTTAAAACCTTAGGTAACGAAAGAGCGAAAGATGTCGCGAGATTCGTATCTACTTCGACCCATCTTTACATCTTTACATCTTTACTCGGTTACAAAGCTTGAGTAAAAACATTCATTTTTATATTTTTTTACGGAACACAACCAATAGGTTCTATGGAAGACCCAAACACTGCAAAATGTCTCTAAAGTATGCAGAACTCTTTTAAGAACTATACGATAAAATTTTATGATGCTTTAAGAAGCAATTTGAAACCAAAGATGCATTTATTTATGTATATACTACATAGATAGAGCTGAACCGCTGAATATGGTTTTTTCATGGATTCAATAACATGTGTAAAAGTTTGGAGTGAACCACTATTTTAGAAGTTCGAGACAAAAAAGTTATGCTAATAGCAGTGGAAATAAGACAGCTTAGTGTTAGGAAAGTATGATGCAAGTACATAACATCATTTTACCTATTCAGAGCAAGGTTATTGATTTGTGTATTCAATTACAAAGCTTAAAATGAAGTCGTTACCTAACTATCATATGTGTAACTAAAACTATTGGATAATCCGAAATAGTTTGATACCATAACCGTATACGAAACCGGCGTTATGTTACATGTTTATCTGTATTGCTGATCTAAAACTGGGTATTTAATCTATGAGTATATTTTTTGAATTCTTTGCTAAAGAAAAGCGCCTCAGATATTTGTCTTTGTCACTTTTAGTTATGTTATTCATGAGTACTTTATGTTTACGTATATTTACATAATATACTGTATTACGGGCAAAATTTTTAAGGGTTTTGTAGAAAGAATAAATAGCCCAAGTTACTCCTTATATAGACAGCTACCTGGTATTAAATATTATCAAAGTCGGTCCAGCCGTTTAGAAGATTACCCGACACAAACAGACAGATAGACAACATTTTTTTAAACAGATTTTTAGGCATAGGTTTCGTGCAAATAACCGTTTGAGCATGAAAAAAACCTTTTATTTTGACATTATAAACAGACACTTTAATATAGATATCTATATATTATGGTTACTCACATGGGGGTCTGGCTCTTTGTGATCTGGCTGCGGCTTTGCGCGCCGCGGCAGCAGGACAACCTGAGAGGGAACGGTGCGTGCTTCGGTTGGAGCTGACGTGGCCGCGCCCGTTGCACCCCGGAGTGGGGCACTTCAAGATTGTCTCGTGCAACGCCAATACTGTACATATATATTAATAAAAATCGACTAACTATTTAATATAGCTCATAAAATAAGCAACATAATCTGTTCAACAAATTGTAAATAAAGATTTAACAATTAAACTCGTATTTTTAAACAGTAACATTAATAAAACTTTGAAGGAATGTTACTCGTGTTCGTTATATTGTATGTGCTTATTGCTTTGTAAAGTAAAAAATTGATGTTTCTTTATTATTGTACTTATTCTAAATTTCTAATTACAAAGTAAGGATACATTATAACTGGGGGAGAAACTCAGGAGCGTGAATTTCTATAAAACCAAAATACACTATTAACAACATAATTACAATCAAGCAAATTATTTAACACCTAACACAAAACTAAATGTTTACCAACCGAATCAACATAAAATAAAACTGAATGTAAAACATAAGGTAAAAAAAGCCTTATTTAGGAATTCTTTACGTTACTTACTCTCGGGTGTGACTTTATCCTTTCTTGGACATCCTGACAGACTGAAGGAATAAATTATTATCAGTATTTTATGTTACTGCATATTAATTACTATAGTGCTCAGTAATATAACTAATTAGGTACTTATAATATCATCCCAATATCTTTTTGCTACCTATAACTTTATAGCCAGGGAGTGTGTGACTAACATTTATTCACATCCCCTGTGTAGTTTTATATCGGTAGCCTTATATACCGTGCTTACTTATATAGGTTCTTTGTAGAACTGAAAATCATGGTAATCATGACTCACCTCCTGTGGTGAGTGTAAAGGCCGGTGACGTGGCCCTGCCCATTGCATCCGGGTGTAGGACACTTGTTGCCTTCTGTGAACAAATCGAGCGGTGCAACAAATTAGTGTTTTCGTGATGAGCGGGTGGGGGCGTGAGCGGGCGATCGATAACGGCGGGCGTGCCGCAGCCGGGGCGTACCTGCGCGGCCCCGCCCCGCGCCCGACCCACCCCACGCACAACTTAAAAGAAAAAATAAAGAACGACGAGCGGCTGCGCGCGGACTTCATATTTTTCTTTCAGGAATGGTAGGCGGCGCGCCAACGCCCCGCCCCCTGCCTGTCCTGACCCGTTTTTATTGCTCATCGCCCTGGCATAAGCCCAGCTACCACCCAGCAACAAAAGAGGAAAACGTTTAGGTATCTTATATACGTTATCGACCTAGGTGGGAGTATAACCTTGTTGTGACCGTCTCCTACTAAATTATGGAGACGTCTTATAAATGAGAGATGATTTGTTGTCAGCTTTTGTTACAAACTCAAATCTGTACTTATAAGCAGCCGAGGAATGTTCGGAATGATAATGCCGGATTAAGGCTAGGTAATCCTGTCAAACGACTACATGGATTAGATTTATTACAAGTGAATATAAATACAAAATTATGATTAGGCCTTAGCTTAGCTGTGTACAAGATCAACCCGGTAGCTAGGTTATGAGAATTCGCAAGACGACCTTGAAACAAAGTTGAAGTTAGTTCAAAGCGGAGTTGTAGGTTATGAGCAGGTCGTTAAGAAAGTTTGGCTATCGTCGTCGGAGGTAAGTATGCCTGGTACCTCGTGAAGCCGGCGGGGACAGCGGGTTGAGTGGTCGTGAGTCGCGTGCCGGTTGCGCGGACGGCACCGCACGTGCCTCCTGTAGTGCTGTCGCCGCGCGGGACCCTGCACCGGCAGGTTGCAACACAGTGTATTGCTTCGATCCTTTGTGTATCGAACTCTTTTCGTGATCGTTTGAGTATCCTCCAAAAGGTTCGCTAGGAAGGGATGAATTATGGAGGCGATGCTTTACTTCTGCTGGGGGCTTGAAGGCTGATTGTGTTGAATACGGCAAGGCCGCTGTTGCAGCCTTGTAAGCGTTGTACAGTGATTGTTTGTTAACGGAATGTACTTCACTTTTACGTTTATGTTTAAATTCTCTGCCGTCACCATACCTATCGGATATATCTATTTCTAAATCATTGGAAGACGAGTCAATCAGTTCATCAAAGTTTGGGGTATCATACTGATTGGAATGTCTACTGTGTTTGTCGTAGTCGCTGATCCTTTCTCTTTCTGATCGTATTCGTTTGGCGTCGATTTCGGTGCTTCCGTTCATGTTGTGGTCATCGTGATGACGCGTGGTGTAACTTTTATGTGAAGCGGCGCTGTCGGATGATGGTGAAGGGGAAGACTGTAACATTTTTTCCGATCGATTCTCTTCGAAAACATTCTCAAAGCCATTACGTTCATCATGTTCGTCTCCACTGTGAGTCGTTGGCTCTCGTGTCCAGTTGCCAGAAAGCGTTTTTAAAGCCGCCTGTGTTTCTCGTATGAGAGTCTCGTCATCCTCATCTAGTTGTCTTGCAGCCTGAGGTCGGTGCATTGGAAGAGGTCGACGTCGAACATCCAGATCATCTCGTCTCTCATCGTCGAGGAGTCGTCGTCTTCTCTTACCTACAACCTCTTCTTCCTCCATGGAACCCTCACCACTAATTCGTTCTAATCGCCTATCGTTAGATCTAAATGTTTCTACATCCACTCCAAACTCCAGCCTTCTTTTGTTAATCTGCGACAGTGAAGACTGTACAGTCAACGGCGCCGTCCTGAAACAAACACCCTTGTCAGATAGCTTTCCGCGCCTACTTAAATGGCACACAAGCAAAGACACCAATAGTAAATTGTATGTTGTACTTGCGATTCGATTTTCCATCCACAATCAGAATATTTTTACGCGGAAATGATTCTCGGCGTTTCCAATCGACGTATCACATTAGAAGCACTTTGGTGTTATGATTATTTGCACAAAAATCGTTCCCACGTAAAAACCATTTCACTCAAGGGCTTTCAGACCAAATATTGTTGAAAGTGAGAATGACTAAAAAGTAGATACCGCCGACGGTACGTCACCGGGGTTTTATCTTAAAAACTCCGTAAGCCAAAATAACATATTCTTTAACTGGTTTGTGTTGTTTATGTTACCCGATGGTTTGGTTAGTTTTTATTATTTTAGAGATAAGATTACTGTTACCGATATGTCCGAGAAGTGCCGCACCACGCATAACGCAATCAATTTTCACGTTTTGTTTTCATATTTTCTGGTTTTCAAACTTTATTGGTAAATTAAAACTTTGAGTAAAACTTTTCCAGAAAAGTTTTTGAAGTGGGTATGTCAACGTGACTATTTTTGTATAAACTTTTATGTCATTAGTTAATGGTTTTCAAGTTGAGTGTTGTTTTGAGGTTGTATAGAAATGTTGTCAAGAAACAAATTTTTTATTAAAATTTCATTTTTATTTAGGTATATTGGCACTGTTAGGAAGGTTTTCCTGTGAAATAATAAATAGAAGGCTAGTTGATTTGCAAAGTGTATGTATACATCAAGTGTGGCAACCTTAGTTATCATCTTCATCAACAGTCTATAATAGTCTACTACTCGTCATAGGTCTCTCCTTGGAAAGGAGGTTTTGGCCTACTAGTACCTGCTAGTACTAGTATCTTAGTATTATTCAGTAAATAATATAATATATTAAGCAGATTATCAAAGTCTGTATTCATAAAGTTATGTATTAAATTCGTTACAACCCTAAATTAGCCATTTAATATGTATAATCTTCCTCCTAGTAAGCAACGCACACACACACACGCACACACACACACACACACACACACACAGACACAGGCCAAACACATCGTCGAAACTACGAAAAAATAAATTTAATAGGGTAGTTTCGTGCCGTTCGTATACGGTCGTATAAATGCACGTCGAATCAACCACCGTGCTCTGAGGTCAACAGACAATATCATCCTCAATGTTATCATGTTTTCCGAGCCCTAAAACAAACTTAGAGCCATAACTCCATAAAGCAATCGGGCTGATTTATTGATCGGCGATACTCTCTCTCAAAGTTGTGCAATATGCGCCCGACTCAACTCGAGATAGTAATCGATGGTCCTTGACGTAGGTACCTTCGGGGGAGCTCACCGGAAGGCCAAAATACCGATAGTACGACGCCCGGCAAACATTTACGTACGTGACGTACCCTCTAGTCGGTACCAATGTAAACCAAAATTACGTAAACGTGATACGTTTCCAAGCGTCGGGATTGGTCCGAAACGTAGATTTTCGCGTTCGGGGTAACGTTCGTATGTTGGCGTAGGGTAATTAGATAAACCCTGAGGGCGGTGGATGCTTAACCGGTTTAAACTAGTGCTCGTGCGGACCTTTATCAGCGGGTGGCGAGTGGCGGGTTATCTCGGGGCCGCGTTAATTGTAATGCCTGGAGATTAGGGCGCGATATAAAGGAGGTCGCGGCGCGAATATGCGGCGCCGAGCGCGTGTGGATTAGGGAAGATGCCAACGTGAGACGTGACTGGTTTATATGGTGAATTGATACTGTTCTAAACTTATCTTTGTTTGCTACCATTTTAGTTAAATACGAAGTTTGTTACCATACCATTTTTTTCGGTGTCATTTTAGTAAACCAACCGAGTCGTCGAATTTTAATGATAATTCATTAGATTTAAATGCGTTTTTTTAATCATTGACCAAATTTAATTATGCAAAATCCCGAGAACGTCTATAAGTCGCATCTTAGAAGGTTTTTATTTTTGACAGTTGTTCATAAAAATGTAGCTTTCTACACTTCTATGATACCTATACGTGATATATGAATACGTTAGAGTAACTTTAAGTACCTGTTCAAAATTTCTCATTTTTCTGTACCCGAAATTTGCTTAAAAAGAGGTGTAAAAAATCTGTTTACGTTTTAAAATTTAAAACATATTTTTATACCGGTGTATTGTATTTTGATTAAAAGTAACGTAATCTATTTTATTTCAGTATATTTCACTTTCAGAACAAATGTTTAAATGAGTTCTATAGAAGCTGTAACTTGATTTCTACAATGGTTGTACCATTGACGAACTATTGTCATTCATCATTAATTATCATTGACGTATGAGTATCCTTAAAGTTGACTACACTTTAATTTAATATAGACAAATCTGGGATAAAGCCTAAGGTACTAGTAACTCTGTGCCCGACGTATCTACGCCGTCACACAAAATGTCCATTGCTGAAAATCACAATTTCATAATTTCTCATAATTTCTTGGGAACTCTATTGTAATTCCTTCGAAAACGTGAGGTAAGCGGTACGACTTAAGACCCTTTCCCGCCCTGGAGCAATAACAAACACGCGTCGGCCTCCCGCGGGCCCCTCTAACGTAACTGCTTCCAAATTCAAATTGCACCTTAGAATTCTTAATTATTGAAATCATAAATCAAAACGTGCCGTCTGTGCGGGCGACCATAAAATTGTAAGGGGGGGGACGAGGTCTGGCAAAGCTCGAGTGTGGTAGGATTAAGACATTATCACTTTTCTTTCAAGCAGTCGCGCCCTCTTCGGCCTCGCTCGACTGTAAATCAGCGGGTAAATCCTCTGGATTAGATTCATAGACTTGCCGCGGCCTGTGGATCGGGCGCCAGCGATAATGGTGTCTTGTGCTAGCGTGATTTTGCTTTTAAATCGACTCGGGCAAGATAAATATACTCTCAATTTGAACTTCCCGTTGAAATGGCTTTAGCGGCACTCTGTTGAAGTTTATAGCTAACGACTGAGTCTGACTGATAACTGGACACGGAAATATTTGGAGTGATCGTAAATATTGTGTGATGAACATTAGTAGCGTTAGTTATTATTTTTAAACCACACTGTTTTGGTTTGGGCTTTAAAATTCACATTGGTCGCTATCATTATCAGAGTAGATCCTTAGTTAGTTATATTACTCCTTAGTTATATTTAACAGGCTTCTTGAAAATGGATTTATAACGATTTAACAACCTGTTAACCTGCTGTTTAAATCACTTCTTACATTTTTGTAACAATCCGTACATGCCTAACATTCTACTTAGGAGTACTTGTTAGAAAAAAAAAACACTTTTTTGAAAATATCATCATTCTTCTATGACAAAATTCATTTAAGCTTTTAAATGTAGGTGTAATTTATTTTTTTTAGCTGCCAGCTATTTACAGGCTAGGTATATAAGTACTTACAATGATTAGATTATTATTATTCAAGGGTTACAGGACAGTTATAATTACAGGAATTAAACATGTATATAAACGGTTTCATTTGATAACTGATTTTCCTTTTTCATTTCAGATTGTGCAAACGAAATTCAACTTTAAGAGATACATGAAATAAATGGAATTTAACCATTTTCATTTTGGGAAAGACTAATAGTAGGCCGAGACAGCTTAGTACACAAGAATAGATGAATAAATTTACCTGTGATTGTGTAGTTGATTTAGAAAATAAGTCCTTAGTTTAGTTTTAATATTATCTTATCCTATCAATAAAACACCAGAATCTGATTTTTTTTAAACCAGACCATAACTATGGTTTTAGCCACGGGACCATCTGTGAGTCGTAGATGGCCCGGAGTCCGTCGGGGTACCAGGGATTACCTTTCTAGGTTAAACCTGATTCTCCGGCTACTGGTACCTGAAACGACATACAGTTTTTGGTCGGTTCGAGTTCGACTATAACCGTAATGTAACGGTCAACATCCTATCGGCTGTCCGGTGGCGCGTATCCGAGGCGATTTCCGCACTAGGAAAAAGATAAAGGGAAAGATCCCTGAAGAACGATGTTGGCATTATCCATAATTACATTGCTATCAAGCTGTGAATCAGTGATGCTATTTTCTCAGTTTAAGAAGGGTCTAATACTCGTAAAATTATCTAGGTTGATCCGGTAAGATGACGCTTAGAGACGTCTCTTTTTTTTTGTTTTAATAAAAAGACAACTCCCGCATTTAGGAATATATCTTGTATCGCGGGGACTTTACAAACATACATGAAAAGGATACAAATAACTCCCAGACTCAGAACAACAATTTGTGGATCACATAAAGTGTCGTCCCATGCGGGGTTTGAACCCACAACACTCGGCGTAGTAGGAAGCGGCGTGGTGACCGCTTAAACCACTATGCCATCCGCGCTGTCTCTAGTATAATCTTAGAGATGTTTTACTTTAATAATTAAGCATTGATGATACCGCACAGGTTATTTCCATTTAAAAAAAAAAAAAACAGTTTCAACATTTTGTAATTTACTGTACTAAAAGATTTCATAGCAAACTGACAAAATGTGGCACTTTAGTAACACAAAAAATGTCACAATGAGACAATTTTATCTTCCCCTTTTGACAAATGTTGGTACTTGTAGTACCAAATTTGTTTGTGACAATCCATATTATAATTGAAGAGAATAATTTGTTCTACATTGTTATTTTTTTCTATGACAAAGTAACCGCTGAAACCGTCTAGTCAAAAGCTGTTAGAAATTATGATTAGTTAGTGTGTTTTTCGTTACGAGGTAAATAGAGATTACGATTATGAGGTAAATAGAAACAAATATCTACTTATTTTCATTTTTGGATCACTGCTGGACATAGGCCTCTCCTTAGAAAGGAGGTTTTGGCCTACTATACCACGCTGGCAAAACGGGTTGGTATAGGGTTTGTGTCAAGTTTTCCTTCTCTCTGCAGTGCTGTTGTCCTGCGTAGTTTGCTCCCTTAGTCGCCTCTTATGACACCCACGGGATGAATAGGGGTGGTGACACTCTGTATTCTTAGTACGTCACCACACGGATTAGATTACTTAGTAACACGTAAACATACAAACATGCCTATTAAAACGTTAAAG